CCACCACCGACGCCGCCACCACCACCACCACCGCCGCCACCACCACCACCACCACCACCGCCACCACCACCACCACCACCACCGCCACCGCCACCACCACCACCACCACCACCACCACCACATGTCCGGACACTTTGCGGCTGGCGCTGTTGCTACTGCCTTCGCGACATGGCCATGGCTATTGCTGCTGTCACTACGGTGGCTGTGATTACGACGACATTTTAGTTTTACTACCACTACATTGTATTACTATCGCTCCTGCCACTACGACGACGGCTCCTCCTACTCCTCCGACGACGACGACTTCCTACTACCTCTGACTCTGCACACTACCACGACCCACGGCATACTATCGCCAAGGCGACCACTACTACCAGACTTGCCTCGGGAGCCGCTTCTCCAGTGTACCAGCGTACAGCAAAAGGAATGAGCTGGTCCCGGACCTCGTTCTCGACAAACACAAAAGCCGGTGTAGCGCGACAGATGTGAAACATGATGCAATGCTTGTCTGGGTGGCCAACACAGCAGCCGATCTCGTAGTCGTTTTCCTCAGGCTTTCCATCTCTTGAGGATACAGCCACCATGGTATCCCGCTGCGATACTTTCCACCAAGCATCCATGAGCAGTTCCATCATCCCTTCGTCATCGTCGTCGTCGTCCTGGCACAATGCTGAGCGTCTTGGATTCTACCTTGGATCCACACACCAGACGACTGAAGAATGGCAAGATGAAGGCAGAGAAATCAGAAAGTCCTCCATCAAACCTCGTGCATCCTCGAGGTTCACATCCTGAGCTAAACCAGTTGCATCCAGGTTCCTTCAGATGGCAGCACATGGCTATTGATTCTTGGGACACAGAAGAGCTGTGTTGTTTCTTCTACCGTCTCGACACCCTGCAAGTGTGAAAGCTAAGTGTGCGACATCTGGGATCGGCATTCCCTCTTTCAGATGTCCTGAGCTTTGCGAGGGCAACAAGTCCTTCCAGGAACTTGCATGGGGCACTGAGGCAGATACGGAAGAATCCGCGGAAAAAGGAGTCCCGCGGTTCCTCCTTCTCCTGTCAGTCCCATGGGCGGCCTTTACATAGAGCTGTCATTCTGATAACACTGTGGTGTGCTCTTCGAGGAGAGCTCGCAGCTGACAGGAGTACTTCTTGAGCGGTGCTCGGAGTGAACGAAAGCAAACTGTCGCTCGGTCGAGTCCTTGCCCTTCTGCTTGGCCTTCTTGGCTCCTTCGGCTGCGGTAGCGAAAGATTTGAAGATGGTGAGAGCGAGGCCCTTCACGATAAGTTGCCATCAATCAAGGAAAACGGCACTGGGTGTTGGCTCCTGCGTCCTAGCCTCTGGATGTTACGATTGAAATTACAGGTATCTGAGATTGTGTTGGGGCTGGCCTTTGCAACAGATGCGGAAGGTGCTCGCAGGAAACAGCAATTTAGGACAAGTGAACAACTGAGACTCCAACCTCCTCCCTTCACCTTCTTCGCCACCTCATCACGAGTGGTGAATCCAAAATCTTTATTGCTTTATGCCCAGGAGAACCGCTGCACGCCATGGCATGTCAATCTTGCACCCGAGATCAATGTAGTGAACTGGCATGGCAGAAAATCTGAAAAGGAAGCGCAGGAGCCTTCTCAACAGTGACATTCTTCCCTGCATTCCAGTCAATCTCGGCAGCCTCCGCGGTACATATGCTGAAGCTGCGAAAGGCGGCATGGACCACCTGAGGCCTTGATCTCTTTGGCAGAGACTTCCCCAGTGTAAGGTGAGGCTTCTTCAACATGGTACTCCTGACATTGACATCAACGGCAGTAACGCAGCATTGCCAACTGTTCGTCCTTCCACAGCTCCGTGTTGGTGAAGTACGGGTTCTCCACGAAATGGAAAATCAGCTTGAACCCCTTGGAGATGTCCTGCGAATTGCTCGCAACAACCTCCACCACCAAATTCCACTAAGCCACCAAGCCGCCCTCAATTTCACTCGCTCATGCCTGCAAAAATCGATACACAGCATGAGTAACTCCGTTGCATCCTCTACCGGATCTTCAGATCCGCTTCACTTGTCCGCTCGGAACGCCGCTTTCGATTCTGTCAACCGAAGCACATCGGGCCGGTGTTGGAGAACTTCGTGATTTACTACACGAGTCTTCATTGGAGAGGCCCAAGCCCAACAAGCAACCCTGAACTTCAACTGCGTACAAACACTGCGGAGTGTCCGCTTCATCCAACCAAGCTTTGGTGATGTCTTTGCCTGCCAAAGGCTCAAGCTCTGCAAACAAGCTGGAAAGCAAACGACTGTCTCGCACGCAATTACTGGATGGCATGGCATGGCGAGGCAGTTGAGTCTGGTACAGTAGTCGAGCACTGGCTCGTCCCATTCCTGCACATCGTTCGAAGCGTTTCGACCCAGAACTTTCAAGTATGCTACCTGCGAAGCTTGCCGTTGCCTCAATGTGCTCCTCGAGGGCGGGGAGATTCTTCATCGCCTCAGAGCAGCGCATGCGGCACTGTCCGTTGACTCACACTCGTTGTTCGCTCGCCTCCTTCCAGAAGCCTCGCAAGGCGGGCGTGCCGGAGGCCTTGGCCTCACAATCCGAACACAACTCATGGCATCTGCAAAGGCAATAAGCGCGAAGGCTTTGCTCTTTCCGATCACCTCCTCACCCTCGGCTGCTGCGATGTTTGTCAGGATCTGTGTCCTGGTTGGCAATGCTTGCAGTGAGACTTGTCAAGGGCATTTCTACGCCGCACTCTGGAAACATGGCTGTCCTCTGATCAATGAAGGGCTGCTGCTTTGCAGAGTACTGCTTTTGCAACTCCTGCCATCGTGGGATCACAGGCTGAGAACATGTCTCTGCATCTCAGCATGCATAACTTCTTGGCAGGAATGGGCACTGCCATGCCCGAGCCGAGTCAAGCCCATGGCTCTTCTGACAGAAATAGCACGCTCTTGCTGTCCACACAGCGATAGCTAGGTCCTTCGCGTCAAGTCCTCCTGCAATAGACTGGGTGATGCTTAACAAGGAAGATTCGTCCTGAACAGCTTTCTCGTATTCTCGCTCGACAGCCAGGTACTTGTCATCGATCTCCTTCAACTCCTGCGGACGTGAACAATCCGACAGAATCCGACTTCCAACATCTTGCAACTGTCCCAGTATGTCGGGTTACTACACTCCTTGATAATCGGCGGATCTTCCGGAGCTGCCTCGGCCTCCTCCAAGGAAAAGAGCGGAGGACGTCGCAGGGAGAGAGCAGAGAGCTCTTTTGTTTGAGCGCGTCTTCGTCCCCTCGCGCCTTCTTGGGCTCGGCCTCGGGCTGCTCGGGCTGCTCGGGCTCTGTCTTCTTCTTTCCCATGAATCGGCCCCTGCTCCAAATCAGCGAGAGAGCGCTGCAGAGAAAGCCACACAAAAAGCTCTGCACACAGGCTGCAGGGAACTCTCTCTTTGGCCTGGATGCAAGACCCCAGCTGCGATGCCCCCGGAAGCCAAAGCTGCGAGCAGAAGCGTCGGCGACGGGACAAATCAGGAACCACAGCTGGAGATGTGTCTTCTTTTGTGGCTTTTGAAGACAGTATGCTTGCAGATCGCGTGTCGCAGGATAAGTTCGCCCGACTGGCCCAACTCTGCAGGACTCCAATAAGACCTTGATCAAACGCTGTCGTCCAGTTCCTACCACATTCAGATCTAACGAGAGAAATGTTGGCCAACTTTCCAGCTGCGTGTGTCGTCGGATGCGGCTAAGGCCGAGACATGTTCGATTTCGACGCCGCTCGAACGCAAAAGCTGCCTCCGCAGCAATACAGACCAGCGAAGCACGTCCCGACTGCGTGATCAAACAGGGCAAATTCCGGATCATCAAAGATGCAGAGTGGACTGAGGCCCACTCGCTTGTGGCTGACCGATGCGTTTTCCTTGCAATGCCAAGCCCAAGACTAGCCAAGACTTCGGAGACCCGGCCCAGGCGAGTCCGGGCGATTGTGCTGGTGCACACAAGCAGGCTCCCGAATCTCCCGAACTCTCAGGCACAAGCTGTTTTGACCAAGCTTTGAAGCACACTCGAACAAGAGATGCCTAGCAAGAAGCTCCACACCAGTACGAATGCCTTGCTTCGCAACTCCTAGTTGCTTGCATCTCCAGCAAAGAGGAGCAATCATGTACGCTTGTATTCATGCGCAACATGATACATGAGACACCGAAGTGCAGGTAGCACGAGTCCAAGTTCCTGTTGCTACTCTGCTCCGTTGCGCTTGCGGCTCCAAATAGCACTGGCCGACATTCAGAAACTGACGCCCAACAACTCAATTGCACGTATTCTGGCCATCGGCGCAAATGATGAGACACGGCCGGCAAGTGACGGAAACATGCTTTGACTCAGAGGCAAGATGGCTCTGCAAGACATGACTCGCATGCATATGAGCAGCTGTAGAAAGGTATGCACAAGACCTTCACATAAGATGGACACATGACGACACATGCATTTTCTGAATCGATGAAGTGCACTGACTTCCGCCGGCCTCCAAACCCACGGCCCAAGCCTGCAGAATGCAAGGCGCGCTGAGGACTTCCTAAGTGAGGTCTCTCCTAACGTCGGGCCAACTGGTCGATGGTTCCCTATGGTTCCCTCTTGTTCAGCATCCAGAAGATGAAGTTCAGGCATGCACTACTTGTGCAAATCCCGACCTCGAGAACTCGCAGGCAGCGCTCGTTATGTTCAAGATGCGCTGCGAGCAGCGAGCTGTACTCCTCAGGGTGCACATGCAGCTTTCGTACAAACCTGTAGCATATTCCAAGACTCCAAAATCGCTGTTGTACGATTCCTGACCCTTAGGACCGCTGGGCACCGAAGCTCGCAGCGGTCGCAGCGTCCTCTGCAGACACATCGCAGAATCGTGCTCGGGCTAGAGACCGCCAAGCTTGCCTGAAGCAGGAAGGAGCAAACAGCCACAACTCACTCCTCATGAGCCATGGGCCATCACGGTAGGAAATCCAAACAAGGAGTCCGAGCAGTCGCTCTCAGAACATTCTGCAACTTGGAGTTCAGAATTCTTAGTCTGGTTCGGATTTCAGTCCATCATACTTCTGGTCCGGATCATCACCTGCACCATCAGCGAACTGAGGCGCTCACAGACATCGGCACCGGAGTGCAGTGCGAGAAACAGCAGCCAAGGCTCCGGCCTGGACATCACCAAAGCCCAGGCGCAAGCAGTGCCCTCCTCTTGAATCGCTGTATACCGCTACAGAAGCTGTGCCTCGAAAGCCAAACGCCGCGCGGCTGCCTCTGGACTACCGCGTGTTCAGTCCCTGCTTCTCTGCCTAGCCCACCCAGGGGCCTCTCCAGCGCTTTAGCTTAAACGAACGACTTCGAAAGAAAATTGTGTCTGTGTGCACGTGTCTGTTATGTATTGTTGTCTACCGCGATACAAAAAGCGTTTAAATTAGTTTCCGAGTTGTGTTTGCGCAACAACCAAACACATTCAAACGTCTTCAAACTCGTTTTGGTTCACCGTTGGGACATGGACTTGCTGCGCTTCTTCAGAGCTCTAGTTTACATGTGAGGGGGATCGGGCTAATCGTTGGGTCATGGAGTTGTTAAGCAACTCCAGCGCTCTAGCTTACTGACAGGAAGGCTGCTGACAAGCCGGCAAAATCGATCCTGCTGGCAGGCGCCGACGCATTTTTCTTGAAGACCTGATCAGGCTACTCATTCTCAACATACCCCTTCATGAGGAATTTGCTCTTGTTCTCAAGTATGATGGCAGCAGCATTGCGTGCCCCTTCAAGGTCCGAACGCTTCTTGTAGAATGCTGCATCACTCTGAGCCGCCAGAAGACCTCACATTCTGCAATTCCAAACACCAAGTCGGCCATGCTTGAAGTTGACAAGCTGTCACTACCCTTTGGCGAGCCCCTGGCGCCTGCTGGCGACATTTTGTTTCCACACCTGCAACGTGGCCTCAGTCGCACACAATTTGCTAAGCCAAGGCCACTAGATGTGAAAACTCAATTGGCCATCGGCGCATTCCGCTCTGCGGCTCTGTCTATTGACATCCGGGAGCGGCTAGATCCGGAGCTGCTCAGGCCCGACGAGAAAACCTCCCTTGCCCTGGCCCCGTTCTGACACTCAGAGGCCCTGGCGGAGGCGAGATTCAGTGCACGGTGCCGGCCTCGAAACTCAGGGCTGACGCTTCGTAGTTGCTTGCCCTGTTGGGTGGTCCAGTCATCATGTTTTGATACGTCGGGACTGCGTCTCCAGAAATAGCCGAAGACACAACCGAGACCCATACAGAGTGTTGCAACGATGCCGAAATTGTCAATCGAGTTTGAAAATCTGGACTCGTGTTGAAGCGGCCTCCATGCTGCATGCCAACCAGATAGAGAGTGAAAAATGGTGCAACTGAAATTTGCGACAGAAGGATTCTGGAGTGGGAAACATGAGGCGACAAGAGTCTATAGTCAATGGAAGAAGCTTAACCCTGTAGTTTACAAACCGTCAAGATTGGTAGCAAAAGCGGCACAAACTTGTCACCTTGCATGCCAACAGCAACAGAAAACCAATCTGCACCGAAAGAGCCTTGCGCATCTGCAAAGAATGCCAGGCGCTGCTTCAGCAATGCCTCGCGCGAAGCCAAGCAGCCTTGAAGAGAGGCCTGCATCTGGCTAGTCTGTCTTCGGTGCTATGTTTGCAGTGTTCGGACACACGTGGTGCACAGGATCCTTTGAGGAGCCGCTTGGCCGCTTGGGCTCTTGGACATGCATGGTGTTCGTGTTGGCACCGGAGCGACGAAATCTGGACCCAGCAAGCTGTGCTTGTACTGCAGGGACGGAGCCACCAAGCAATCTGCGGGAATCTGCGGGCTGCGAGAATTGCTGACCCCCTATATCCCCTAACATGTTCGACGTCTCAACTCCAATCAGTTCCGCCATCTCTGCTGCCCTATGGGTTTTGCCGCTAGCCGCCAAGCAGCGAAGCAACTAGGGGGAGAGAGTAGCCCAGGCACAAACCTCTCAGGTTTAGCCGGCCAGACCCGGAACTCCCAACAGCTCCACAAAAGGGGTTTGTTGATTTCCCCCTTGCCTTCTCGGGCTTCAGCGGCTTCTCGAGCTTTCCTTGCTCAGGCTTCAGCTGTGATGCTGCCAGCAGCCTGCGGATGCAATTGCCGGCAGCATCCGGCAGCAGAACACAAGACGGCGATGCTTCGAAACCACCTACCACTCCGGAATCTTGCAGACACTACACAGCCACTGGCATCCGCCTGGACGGACGGCAGCGCCCCTCTTGGCCTCGTATATGCTCTCATCTCGATGATCTCTCGCTCTCTTTCCCACAGTTCACAATAAGCTCCTGAACTTGCGCTAATGAACGGAACATGACAAATCAAGGTGATGGAATGACACACGACGAGACGGAGAGAGCAAGAGAGAGGGAGACCGAATGTTTGAGGTGCTAGCGATGTCCGTGTGCCCACTAAGACCAAAGTGACTAAAACCATCCAAAACGGCTCCCAGAGCTCCTCAAATCTCGCTGCCCCCTCAAGGCACTTGTTTTCTCCTCTATGTCCGTGGCTGGCCATCCTTGTCCAGTCCCCTCCCCACAGAAGTGTAACGATTCTGTACGTTAAGAAACGACCTTCGTGTCCACAACCTTGCTCATACTTAGGGCAACTCGATTCCTCATGCCTTGCGTTTCACTCTCGTGTTGCTGCACCGACCCCGTCAATCGCGACACTTCAATGCCTCTCTGGGGGCTGGCCAGGATGATCTCTCGAAAGATGCGCAGACTGGTCACACATGAACTGCATCACTAAGCACTTCTGCAGAATAAACGGGGCTGGGTGGACAAATACAAGGGTTGCTTGCTGCAGCTCATGCTCCGACACTGCCCACAAGGCTGCAACATGGACGGGGAAGTGCCGGTGGGGTCTTCAGTTTTCCGGCATTTTCCGGCTAGTACAACAGTCGCATGTCCAGTAGACTCACTCGCTCGCTCTAAATACTCCTAAGCCTTCTGAAGACCTCTGGCACACTGCGAGCCTCTCTTTGGGGCAGAACGACTGTGGAAAGCTTCGGCCGGCAGGGCATGAGTGGTTAGTGAGGGTAGCCGCTTGGTTTCAAGCAGGGTGGCCAGTATCGCCGAAGTTCAAGCAGGCAAAGGCTGTCCGATGCTAAGCTGTGTGTTTCCACAGACATCCGTACGAAACAAAGCCGCGCGAGCTTGCCGAAACGTCTGAGGTTTGCACAGGTCACGAAGGCAATCTCAGGGCTGAGGCTGCTTGGATGGTGGGGGAGGTGGTGCCTCGAGAGGACACACACCCCGGCCCCCGACATCCTTCCAAAAATGGGCTGCTGGCAGCAGAAGGGAAGCACCCGAATGGAGACATGTCCCATCCCGTTCCATCAGAACCGGGTGTCTTCCCACAGTCCGGGTTCAGTCACAGGGCTACACTTCCAGGGTACAAGTGAGGCAACACCGCCTCACCGGACAGTGAGAAACTTGGAACTTCGTCTCCATCGGATGGCCATCGGCACTCCAGCTCAAAGCATGAAGAGTCTACAAGTCAAACGATCGTGAAGACATAGAACAGGTTGACAGCAGGGGTTCGGACGAGTCAGCCCGCACAGGTAGCTTGCTGCAGTGCTAATGGTGCTTCCCTGACGATGGCTCTGATTTCTGCGAAGCGCTATCCGCGTCGTTGTAGACGGTCAAGCATCACAATCATCACAAAATGGCAAATACTAAAAAGGCAAAATGGTGTAAAATGAGAGCCTCAATTGTGCAATCACAGCATGCCAACACATGTAGTATGACTACAACTACAACCCATCGCCATTTCTGAACACATGTTAGCTGAAACCAGTTAACCTTTGGGTTATTCTGTCTCCGTGACAGCTGTGGTGCTCCCATTGATACTCTTGCAGATCACCTGAGCAGCAGGGAAGACTCCCGGATCTAAATGTTGAGAGGCCTAGGGTGGGTGTCTGAGCGTACCGGTAAATAGATTCCTGGTCCGCGAACTTTTCCACAGCTCAAACCAGCCAAGCTTCTAGTCGACCGAATTCGTGGTTCAATCGCAGGTGCGGCCGGTCCTGCGCAATTCCGCCCAGTCGTTCCGAACTGTACTGCCACCACCAAACTTCAGGCTTAGGTCGCCGCGGTGTGGGATGTACCGGGATGCCCTGCTACTGATCCCGGCCTGGCTGTTTTCGCCTTCAATTGCCTTCAGATTCCCGAAAATCCGGCAAAACACTGCCATCCTTCCGAATCTGGACCGGGGCGCCTGAGCGCCTCGCCGCTGCGACGGCGCCGGAGATGCGGGAGCTGCGTGGCGTGAGTCCGCACGATACCTTCTTTGCCGTTTTTCTTTGGAAGGTGATGGCCCGTCTCAAAAACAAAAAAAGCTTCAAAACGCATGGTCACAGGATCCCGCTGCGAAAAGGAATTGTTCATAGCACGTTGAGCTTCCAGACAACGGGTTGAACATGGTTGAACCGAAGCCCCTGCTGATGGCCTTGCTCACTCGCACTACGGACTTTGCTCTGACACAAGGATGGAAGTAAGTCATCATGTGGTTTTCTGCGGAGTAATGTCCTTCTGCTGTACCAATTTCGCTCCTGCCTGCGGCCCCTATCTCAGAGTAAGTACCATGGGCCCCAGAATACTAGCACAATGGAGAATCCCGAGCGCAGGCATTCCGAATTATGGCGACCCGTTTCAGGGCCCGCCGACGTAGCTCCACGTATGCTTCAAGCGAAGGTCAGCCCGTTCAGGCTCCTCGGATCCACTGCCAAGAAACCTCGATCCTGCTCGACTGCTGGTTGAAAGAGCCGTCCGGAAGGTGTCGAACAGTTGAGGGTCCTGGTAAATGAAGTGGCATGGCACTCCAAACAAGCGTGAAACGAGGTCAGATTGCTGTTGGCAAGGCTCGAGGAGAGGGATGGGTTGTGGAAGCTTCGTCGATCCCCGAACTTGCAGCAATGCGGTTTTGCAGGATAACACCATTCCGACAGACATCCAAAGATCTACTTCACGCAAGAAGATGCGCAATCGACGTGGCCGCGGCGGTTAGAGCAATGGCCTTCTGGCTCTGGATGGCGATCAACGGAGTACCCCAGCAGTGAAGTGTCCTCGACGGTCAACTCTCACGCTGCCGGAGGGCATTCACTGGACGGACTGTTCCGACCAAGCTGCAGCTGCTGAAGAATGTACTCGAAGCCGTCCACCTCATGTCGATATGCTCGACTATCCTCCCGGTTCGGCCCACAGCCAAGCGGCAGATGTCGACAGCAGGGACCAGCCGCTGGGTACTGAGATCAGGGTGCCACGAAGCCGCGGCCGTGTCTGCCAGCATAAAAGATGAGGGATGTTGGAGGTCAGGTCAGCATACGGATGCATACGGCATCGACTGCCTACAGCACCGGCCAAAGCACAAAAGCCTGCTGCCTCATCTTCTGGGCTTGTCGACGGCCTTGTTGGAGGTCTTTTTGCAAAGCCATCAGCCGTGCTATCAAAATAGACTAGTACTTTACTACACTCCTCATCTAGGACCTAGACTTGCACGATGGAGATGCATCAGCAATGCTTTGGCCTTTGGCAACATTGACCGCGGGAGCATTCTGGCCAAGAGGCAGAACAGCGTACTGGCACCCAGCAATGGTGACCTGAGCTCGAGTCCAACGACAGTGAGAAACCTCTAGACATGCAATATGCGAATGGTGTCGACATAACGGTTCCAGCGCTTGACCTGGAAAGTCGCTTGCCTCAAGAGCACGCTGGTCGCTGGCCCAATTCAACCCGACTCTCAGTACTTTCATTTAGGCTTCAAGGATAGCCGGCATCACGAAAAGAAACACCCGTCGGAGAGGGTTTACTGGTGAAGTCCTGAATAATCGCAGCACGGCTGAATTCAAGATGAGCTGCCGTCTCGCTGGGCTTGGGGTTTCCTGACCAGGGATGGAGCGACAGATGACCTGCAACGTGGCACACGAGCAGACTGCCGGCTGCTCACGACTCGTCTGACCAAGCGGCTGTGTCGTCGGAACAGGGCAGCCTCTCAGAAGAGAGGCAGAAGGTACGTCGAGATATGTCAGTCTTGTCAGTGGGCGGAGAAGGTCCACCACAGTCGTGGCACTGGAAGCACGTTGTCGAAAGCTGTAACGTCTGGTTTCAGGGGCTTCGATATACGGTGTGTTAACGGGGATCTTCCGCTCCTGTCCTGCGAAGACAAGGCCGAGACCGCGACCCGAGTGGAGGCCCGGCCTAGCCTCGCGGCTTTCGCTTTCGTCGCCCGGGCTAGGCTCAGGTTCAGGTGCCTGTGAAGCGACCATGTGCTCACATAGAATTCCGTGCCGCATTTACTGTAGGCAAGCTTCGTTGACCAGAAATTCCGATGCGATCTGCGGGTCAACGATCTGTTTCTCGTCCTCGTCGTTGAAGCGAACTTTCATCTGCTTCTGGGTTTTCCTGGTGGGGCATGCACGATCCTTGCAGTGTCCACAAGCCTGCAAACAACTACAAGCACCGAAAATCTCGCATTTGTTGCTGGTTCACCCTGCCTGGCTCCATGTCGGTGCTTGCACACCTCTAAGGAATCTTGCTCCTTCAGAAATGTGGCCAGAAGCGCCGATCGGTGGTGCGCACGAGAACGGAAGTCGTCGCAGCAGTGTTTAGACTAGTTTAGACTTCGAAATCACAGGGCGGCCATAGTCTTTTCACACAACCACTGGACGAAAACAGACGAACTCTGTTTTCGCGTTTTTGCAATGAAGCTGGGGTTGCTGATACTGGGACAAGGCACCGCCCTCACTCCCTTCCCTTCCCGTGCCCCTTCCCTTCCCCTTCCCTTCGATTTCCCTTCCCTCCACTTCCATTGTTCCGTTCTTCCTTCTTCCATCCCTCGTTCCCTCCTTCTTTCCCCTACTCCATCCCTCCCTCACGCTGCAGGGCTTCTCTTGGCTGTTAAGGCTCAATTTGCCAAGAACTGCAACGAAGTTGCTGTCTCTCTGCCTGCATACTGCACGCTGGCTTAGAATAGAGCTCGCTTGAGTCCAGAACGAGGCAGGCATCTCTCAATTTTGCTCGTTTGCGTAGCTGCATCGAAGGCGATACGTGTGCTGAAGTTCAGGGAAGGGAGCGATGTTTTGTCCAGCGGCAAAGCTCAACTAGACTTGACAGCCGTAGAGTACACACCAGGGCAAAGGCTAAATATCACCGTCACTGGTTACAGTACAACTTTTCCCTTCTACCGCTTATTCTGATGAGCCCCGGATGATCCATGTGCAATGCCTCTTTTGTTCGTTTGGTTCGGAAGGTGAATGCTGCATGTGGGGCAACGGTATCTCAAGTCCATCAGTCCGACGTTTAGACGGGAGCCTGGGCCTGGGGGTAGGCCTTGGGGCCACCGGGGCCCTACGACAGCAAAATTCCCCGCCAAACGTCCAGCGGAGGCATCTCTGAATTTAAGGAAAGGGCCGTCGGATCGAAGCTACTTGGATCATCTTGGATCCCTTCACGGGCTGTGGGGGCGGCTTGCTCAAAGCATGCTCGATGGTGCGGATGGGCTGCTCGGCTCATTCACTTCGCGCATGTTTCGTATTTTCCTCCAAATGAAATGAAGCTCTGGGCTAGGGCACCGCCTTAAGGTGGGAGGGTGGGACAAAAGTGACTGCTGCAATCCACAGCCACAATGGCCACGTGAGATTGCATTTCCATAAATGTTCATCCCGACCATCCTTTGTTCATACAAGACATGAACATTATGTCATGATCGCCTGCTCGGCTCATTCACTCATTCACGGAGGGACGGCGGTCTGCGGCATCCAGGGCCCGGAACAGACTGGGCTCTTCCTCTCGACAGCCTAAAACACTGAACGAACCGAAGCCCCAACGTGGTACCCGGCCATCTCAAGAGTAGCGCGAGGGCCGCCATAACAGCAGGACGCCTACTCAGTGCACTTCGGGACACATTGCCCTTCCCAGCTGCTCGTCCAGTCGTGTCAACTAGAGAAAAGCACTGGAGGGCCCGCCGCTGCTGCCGTCACCACACACTCTCAGCGCTGCGAAGAATCCAAAACGACGTCGGGTTCCAACGGGGATGGCAAGGCTGAGCTGAAAGTCATGTTGTGCAGGCCTGGCAATTCCCCCTATTGGACCTCGAGGCTTCTCTTCAGAGGATGGAACAGTTGCACAGCTTGTCCCTCTCCCGACCTGTGTTGCAGAGGAGATGAGCATGGTATCTACGCCGGGTTAGTCGGTTAGTCTGTTTCTTTCTGCAGGGCATAGCGGTCAGCTAACTGACCCTCAGGCCATCTCTCTCTTTCGCTTTCGCCAGGGCTAGGGACAAGGGGATTGCTCCCCTTGCCATCTCTCTCTCTCTCTCTCTCTCTTTCTCTCTACCAGGCTTGAGGCTCAGGGTGGTCAGACCCCTCGCCCCGCACGCGAACGCGCACCTGCCGGTCCTGGCAGGATTTAGAGGTCTCGACAGGGGATTATCCCCCGAGTGCTTTGCTATACAGCCTCCAGGATGCTCCGGCATGTAGACCTCCCCTAACAACCAACCAAGTGTTCTCGTCCCCGAAAGGTAATCACGAACAAGAAGACTGCATTCCCCTTTGCCCACATGCCAATTGTATCTGCCCTATGACCTCGTGCCACAACTGTCTGTCGTACATACAAAACAATACGAAATGAACATGATCGTGAAGTTCGACAAAAGATCAATTGGCAACGACTGTGGCAGCTGAGTCCCCGCCCGGCGCTGAAAAACAACACGAGGTCACAGGTACTAATAGCACAGGTATTCCCCCTCGGCTGACCGGTTCGCTTCACAGGAAGTTTGGGAGGCTTCTGCATGCTACGTTGCTCTGAGATCCCCCGGTGGAAGTCGAGCTAAACCGGCCCCGTTGACTAACATGAGGAAATACATGTAACAGAACACAAAGGTACTTGTCCCGACGTTGCTTTGAGCAGGTCTGAAAGTGAATTCGTCACAGGTGTCGCACACACACTGTGGCTCGTAGTGCTTGTTCCGTTCTGGTCCCCGGGTTGAAGACTGGCTCAAGACCCTAAAGGACACCATACAACGCTCTGGCAACCCCGGGACACATTGAACGGTACATGTTCGTGATTGCTCCCCGTCGGTAAAGGAGTTCATGCAACTCAGAGCGCAAAGTCACACTCTCTTTCTTTTCTTTCTGCAGGGCGTAGGGGTCGGCGTTCCAGTGACGCACTCTCTCTCTCTCTCTCTTTTTCTCTCCTCCGTGGCCAGAACCAGTCCTGTCGCAGACACCTTCGCATCTCATCCAGAGCCTGTCTCTCCTGAAACAACAGTGATGAACACATGCTGCATAGGGGCCTTTGATACCTGTGCCAAATGGATGTCCGGAACTGCAGCGAGTTCAGGACACACTGCCCTGAAACAGAACATTCACATCTGAACTGATACTCGTGCATGGTCGAGAAAGCAGGGACAGCCCCGACCCATCAACTCACGCCAAGCCGCCACGCGAAGTTGGACCTCCTTCCGTTCCAGGGCTTCGAACTCATGCCTGCCCACATTGTGCAGCATGGACAGCTGCCAGCTTAGTCAGCATCACGGCATCACCTTACATCACCTTCCCGCTGTACAGCAAGACCTGCGTTGCTGTCGGACTGGGATGTAATGAGTCTGGGAACTTAATTAAATTTCGGATCCTGCACTCGCCAGCTGTCACTCCTGTGTGCGTGGAGTACAAAACGGCGACAACGAGATGAAAGTAGACATCCCAAGGTGGGCTATCTGCCGTGTGATGCACGGTGGCCGCAACAAACGCTCGTCGCTGTTGACATCTACTATCCCTGCGACCAGGATGCCGAAGCTTCGCATCAAGCTCTTCGATAAAACTGTTCACCCCCTGCCCAGAGTCGATCGACATGGATGCTTTTGCTCTCGAAACTGGGCAAAATGTGTAAAGTCACATGACTGCTCGATGAAGTGCGGGGCTGGCTAGCAAGCAAACGGTATCGGCTGGTTGACGCCTTTCGGAAGGTCTCCACGAGATGGGTCACGAGGTCGCCCACCTCTCCGCGGACAGGAAAGGATCGAGGAAGCGAAACGAAAACGGCTGGGCTGCCTCTTCATCTTCGAGGTGCAGCAACGGCATCCAAATCCACAGCTTGGGCTTTCTCCTCTGTCCACCTCTGCTAACCTACAATGTGGAAGTACAAGCTGCCTTTGACTGTAATGATGTGGCTTCCAATTTACCTTGGCGATGTAAAGTCCGCCAATGCTTTGAAGTGAAAGATAAAAACTGTCACTTAAAATGGCTGCAGACGGGGAAGCTTAGAAAACCTGCCGATGCAAGAGACACGTTGCTCAGCCGGATTTGGTCAAGACGGCCCTGGCCGTGCCCCGACAGCAGGTGAGCCCCGAGCCGCTCGGTTGTGCACCGCTTGGCTTTCGCGCCCTTGCGAGCATCCCAAAAATGAAACTGCTGGATGGTACAGGCTGGAGAAAGTCTTGAGTCAGTCCCAGCTGGTGGCCGGGTCGTGGCAGGGAGAGCTCCAGTGGGGCATACCGGCATCCTAGCCGCTCCTAGCGGCTGTGTCGGCCTCCCTGCTTGTGCTCCGGTTCACGCATCACCGCCTGTATCCCAGAGGGTGCTGCTTACCTGACCTTCCCTTGCCAACTAGCCGGCGAGCGCACTGTGCAACAATGAGCCGCGATTCTTCACACAGCCGTTAAGACAAGCACCGTCAATCTGCCAGCGGTATGCTACAGCACCGGAGTCCAGCCTCTCCGAAACGGCTCTTCGAGAAGATCGCGGGCGAGGTGCCTTCGTCTAGCCGAGTGCTCCTGCCTTAAGTGGTATCGTTTTTGCCTGCTAGAGTTTAACAGCTTGGTGCACGTTGGTTCATGGCACGTCCCTCGGTACACAATACTGCCAGGTTTCTTAGTCCAGACTCATCGCAACATGTGTTCTGACATGGAGAAGTGTCTGTGCGTGTGCGCGTGCGTGTGTGTGTGTGTGGGGAGGGAGGAAATGAGGAGGGGGGGGTCAAAAACTGTGTCAGGTTATTATGTACGATGGAGAATGTGCTCCTGGTTCCTCCGTGCAGAATCTGTTCGTTACGATGCCGATGCCGAGGAGCCGAAAGAAGGGCACACAAAAACCACATCACAAGCACCACTCAACTGGATCCAAAAACTATGAATGCCACAACTTGTCGCTCGCTGGCAGAGATAATGAAGTCAAGATGCCATACGGCAGCCCCATCGTCTGCCGCGCAGGCAGCGGATGTCAAGTGGATTCGCCTACATACAACTACAAACTGCAACACTGTTCCATTAGATTTTCGGGACATTTGCCTGTGTGGGCAGCGTGGGCTTTTGTCTTGGTTTCTAGATTCACGACGTACGCCAGCCGGGCCAGTTGTCCTCTGCGCAGTGCACAACTATGACTGTGTCGAGCCTTGAGCAGCCCCATTGCCCCATGGTTACCCTCTGCGACCCAAACCCGCGGCATAAAAAAGAGCAACGTCCAAGACCGTCAAGAGGTTTCTCAAGGTGGCTCATCACAGCTGCGGGTGCAACATGCTCTGCAGACATGACTGGGTGAATATGTCCTCAAGCAAAGCAGATAATCCCACCGTTTTGCCGATATCACAGCGTGGCGCATCACCAGAAGGTCACGTAGAAGGACTCGAAGTATACGACTCCAGCCACCTTGGTGAAGGACTCATGCGCCGCCTGTTCGCGGTTTGCTAACCGACCGCGAGACCGAGCCGAAGGCAGTGGCAACAAACATGAAGGCGGTGAAGGTCAGGCAGGCCAGCAGCCAGTACTGCATGGCTTTGTCCTGGAGCGAGTGGAAAGTTCTTCCGAGTCACATCGCTTTGTACACCGATTGCCCTCACTGCTCAATCCAACCTTCGAACGCCTCGAACCTAGAGGCAGAGTCCTTGAAGTATGTGACAAGTTCAAGACGAAGACTATACAAGCTGTGGTCCGGAGTTCATTCGGCGACCAGCCCAGAACGACCGACCCACGCTTGTCCTTCCAGGACTTTTGGAGGGCGTTGGCATCCTCGCAGCCACATCGTGATAGAGTTGGCTTGCGGCTTGCAATGAACACGAAAGTTTCCAAACGAAGTCCAGCGCAGAAGCAGCGAGCAGCCGCACCTCCACCCAGAAGAAGAAGAGGGGTGTCGTAGCTGTGATGCCGAAAGTGGCCTGGCCAAGACCGCTGCAAGCGGACTGCAAGGCCCTGGCCGTGCCCACGCAGAGACCGGCCTCGGCTTCCTTCACTGCCAGGACATAGAATTGCCGCTGTTCCTGTCAAGAGCTTATACAGTTGATACCCATTGACTCTTTCCTAAGCCTCTTTCTCCTCGAAACGACAAGAACAAGGCCAGTGCTCAAGGCCCCCTCCCATGTCCTCGTTCAGCAGCCGGACACCACTTCGCCTACAGCTGACGCTTGGATGCGGTCAGGCTCACCGCCTTCAAGCTGAGGTCCCCAACGCCGACGGCTTGTGGTACTCCCCGCAGCGGAAGCCGTTTTGGTCACTGGGCGCAGACAGTATGCAAAACTGTAGGCTGCACTAGGCTACTCACGGAGCTTGCTTGGCATTGCTTGGGCTTGCACCAGCAGTTGAGTCCAACAGCCCAATAGTCGTAGCTGGCCGGGGCCTCGGCAAGGCAAGCGGTTGTGGACCAGCAGCTCGGCACTTCGCATCTTGATATACCGAGAAAACTTACGGCGGCAAGGCGATTGGTGAACGCTCCATGTCTGCTGAGCTGCTTTGGTGGCATTCTTGTTGATGATGGGCGCTACACAATAGAGATCGCTGTTCTTGAAACCTGCAAACACGCAATTGCATCTTGAGCCGCACTTGTTCAACTGCGTGTTTGAACTTTGAACCCTCTAGCTGGCGTGGCAACCAAAATCAGCCAGCCCTGGGCTCGCCTATGTACTTGCCAACGTCGATTTGAGCACCGGGTGCAAATTCGACGCCTCGCCCAAGCGGAGCATGAGTGGTTCATGTCACGGAGCCAGTCCAAGGATGCGGCGGCCGATGTCCAAGTATCGGCTACTGGAGTCGGTAGCTGGATCCTCGGAGCATGCCGCATGCCCTGTAAAACATGTTACGACCAGACTCTTTTTGAGCTTGCATGCAGGCTATCAAGGTCCCCACGACATTGGATGCCATAGCCAACCGACGCAGCGTTTCAGACCTCCAGCAAATACACGCAGCCGCGCCGCGGCTCTGACCGAGCCGAGAATGAAGTGCACAGTGAAACTGTTCAAACCTGGGACCCCCTGCGCCAGCATGTTTTTGGAATAGTTCCTCAGTTGATCTAGTTTCGAGAGACTTTTCGGTGCTACGATAGTACAGCACAAGCAACCAGGAGAACCAGAAAAAAAGGCATCTACAACCAAGCAGGCGCACTTCGGCCAAACTGGCCGTACTTCATGTTGTACACCGAAGCAACTCGTTGCCATCGAGCTGCAAGCGTGCAAAGCAGACGGAAAGGACCAGCGCCACTGACAGCGCAACCCCCTCGTCTCGTGCATTTAGCGACATCACTAGATCCGTGCAGCAAGGCTGTTCGAAGAACACAAGTCCAACCAGTTTCGATGACCGCGCGTTCTGCTTATGCTCTGAACCGATTCCCAAGCGGCTAGGAAGATGTACCAGAAGGGAAACACAGTCCTTGGCGCTTGGTGTTTACCATAGGTGGCCCATCAAGGAGGTGGGCAGGAAACGAAACAACGGCCCTCACCCTCAATGTGAAGGCCGCTTCAAGACATAAGTGTCCAGCGTGCGCCCTGCCAAGTACCTCTCCAGTCACAACAAGTCTCAGCTGAGTAAGCAGGCCAGAATATGGACATCTCTGGCAAACCATGCGCTGTCAACGAACCCGTACATTGGCATGGCAAGGCTGGGCCTCCTCAGCATGAGGGAGATAATGTGTAGGCAGAGCAAGTAGCCCAGTCCGAGGAGCACCTCGGGCAAAAGGCACATTGGATGTCGGGCTGCCTGTGGGGAAGTCTGCTGTCGTTCGTTCCACCTGTTACGCTTGAATATGCTTGAATGTAACGTCCACCGCAGATGGGATACTGAGAGCTGGGCAAAAGCTGCAGAGACAATGATGGGATAATAGGTTTCCAAACTGGAGGACCTGACCAGCGAGTCACAGCTCCGATCTCGTGTTAGGGTCACCTTCTTCCTTGGATGCTGTCCCTCTGCAGCTCTTCAAGGGCTTAGGGTCCCCGCGCCAGGCCGGATGCCTTGCTTGATGCGCACTTGTCACCAAAATCACTGGAGTTCCTCCGACCCAGTCTCCCGGTCTGACTCCGACTTCCCAGGAAAGATGACAACCGATTGCAATGTCTAGGCCTTCAAGCCCTAAAGCACCAGACAGCGTTGGACCCTTCTTGCAGAAGAGATGCTGCTGCAAAGACGACACAAGGGATGAACCAGCACAGGAACACCTCAATTGAATTTCTGTCACGGCGGCCATCTTCCGGGCTGAGTTGAGAATCTGGATAACTACGTCTGTCAGGATTCTTCTCTACGTATTTCTTTAGCTCTTTCAGTGCTGCACCTGAATCACTGAATGTTTGGGGATGAGGCGCTACTATGACACTCTTATGCTGCCATCTACAACAGATTTCAGAACTGACAGCAGCACAAAAAAAAAACAACCTGCTGGCAACAACTGGCAGCCTTGCGAGGGGTCAAAGTGGTGTCTGAGTGTCATCCTGACACACCTGTCCCTGTTTGACGACATGAAAGTCAATGCAGCATTTGGCCTAGAAGGCTGAACGAGCTTTTACGAGCGAAACCGGTACATCCCCCACGGACAACGCTGAAACGGGCGCTTGTGTGCCCCTGTCTTTTACTCACCAGGCTGCGGGCTGCACATCTTCGACGTATCCATTGCCACCACAACAGGCAACTCTACGCGACTGTGCAACTGGGCACGCGGCACCCTGAAAAGGCAAAGCTACCTTCGGCTGCCGCCTCAGCGATGCAACAGAGAGCACCCGCATCACATGATCTTCAATGTCGAAGAAGAAACTGAGAACTTGGCTTGGTGGGACCAGGCAGGCTGCCATATGCCTTGTGTGAAGACTCGAGAAGAGTTTGCAAACCGGAGCACGACCTGTTTGAGTCGTGCCCGCGACTGTGTACAACTGGAAGCACTCAATTTAGACTTCTTCTCATGTCGGATATCATGCCTGCTGGTACTGTCCCGAACCATAACCTGGCAAATCATGGCAAAGCTGTGGGTGTGGACAGCAGGATGCAAATGATTCAATAACTCCTGCTGTGGCAGGGACGATGGTACCGACCGACATCGTCGACTACTCCAAATACCACCAGTCACACGGTAGACCACGACAGGACCCGTGGTTGTTCTGAAATGGTGCTGCTGCTGCCGCTGCTGCTGCTGCTGCTGCTGCTGCTGCTGCCGCTGCTTCTGCTGCTGCCGCTGCTTCTGCTGCTGCCGCTGCTGCTGCTGCTGCTGCTGCTGCTGCTACGACGACGACGAGTACGACCACGATTACGACGATGACGACGACTTACTACCACTACGCCCATGCCTGCACCTGCGACTGTGACTGCGACTGTGACTGCGACTGTGACTGCGACTGTGACTGCGACTGCGACGACGACTACGACGACGATTACGTCCGACTACGTCCGACTGCGAAAGTAGCCAGCTGCTGCCGCTGCTGCGGTAAACACTTTGCTCGAGAGTCGGAGTCAAACATGGCAGGTAAGCCATACATCTCCAAACCTCGGTTGTGGTTCTCCTACTTGCGGACATGGCGGCCTTCGCTCTGCATGGGGAGACGCATGCTCTGTCCTGCCTGCACCTTTAAGCGTCAAAGCAAGCCTTACGAACCTGCAGCTAGCAGCTGCTAGCAGCAGCTAGCAGCAGCTAGGTCCCGTGCAAATAATCTGTTCGTTCTCCTCAGAGGCAACTTGCATTAACAGACCCCGGCCGGCAACTCACGCTAAGTGGCGCGGCATGACATTGAGACTAAGACGACTAATGCATGCATGCCGTACAACCGGGCATCAGGCGGAAGCCCAGAACTGGGCCTGTTTGGATTGCCCGATTTGCCCGAACTCGGGCCTTCGGGCAAGGAGTGGGCGGGGGTTGTTGCCCCAGGTTGAGCCAGCTGGCTACAGAATAAGAGCTGCACATGTGCATCCAGAACCAACGGGACACAAAGCAAGCAAAAGATGTGCGACAGGGCAATGGCCCCTTTTCCCCTTGCGATGCTTCCGAGCGAACGAACCTCTTACCTGGCAACGAGTGCCACACAGCTCTTTGAACCTGGATCGTGTTCATTTCTGCTGCATGGATCGAAAAGGTGCCTGTCACGAACGATGCAGTTTTGCAACGTGCTGCATGATTGAATGAGCATGATGCATCGCAACACATTCCAGATGACAAGCTGGAACACCGATCCACAAAGCCAAAGAGCCAAGGAGGCCGGCTCACTAATTCTGTTGGCGTATTCATGCAAAGCATCAAGACATGATGAGACTGGCCTACTTAGGAGCAACTGACGAGATCTCTTTGAAAACCACTCACCAGAACAACACGTCAACATTGGCAGCCAGGCTGTACACTGTTCAATGGTGGGCTGCGTGGGCGCAGGCTTCCGGCGGACATGATACCAAAACAAACACTTGAAATGGGGGGCACAAAGTGCTTTCAGATAGAAAGAGCAGGGAATTGAAGCATAAGAAGGATCTGAACACACAAGCGACGGTCGGACAGCATGCCCCTCCTTCCCCTAAAGACTCGCAAACTGAACCGCTCAGCCTATCAGAAACTCGCGCTTGCCAGGTTGGCCTTTATTATTGTGCCGTTGTTTGGGGATGCCAGCAATGGCATGCGCGAGTTTTCGATAAGTCCATGCCTCTGCCGCGAGATACGGATCCCCAAAACTACACCATCTCAATGCAGAGGACTTCAGGTGCACGAGAGCTGCCTAGAGCCGCACAAGAAAAGTGAGAATTCATGTGGTTCGTGTGGACTTCATTACACGAATCTCAGCAAGGTGTCTGCTGCACAGCTTGCATGCACTTGCCGCTGAGTGTTGTTTGCTGCTTCTGCAGGATGCTTGCTCGGGACTTGGGTCAAGTGTGGAGGCTGCAGGATTTGTGGGTCGGCAGCTCAGCTCGTATCACCTGTCGCGCTTGGCCGCCTGCCAATCCTGGACTCCTATAGGGCAGATACGAAATCATACGCAATACAATGCTTTTGAGGAAAGCTCAACACTGCTCGTGTTTAGTTTGAGAGAAGAGCAATGGTTTAGGCCGGAAGCAGTCCAGGATCCAAAATGGGGCCAAAGGGAGGCTTTTGCGCCCGGCACCAGAGGCGCCTGTACCGGTACCGTGCAGCCTTCTACCCGAACTGTCCCCAGGGAGGAGAGCACACAAAGGTACGAAAGCTTTGAATGGCTTTTGCTGACGGCTTCTCCACCCCTGACTGTTCAGGTTAAGATTTGACGGCTGAGAGCTCAGCAAGGCTTCGCACGCAAAATGGAAGTGCGACATTCGACAGTGGTGCCCACGTTACGGCTCTCAAACCACAGTAAGGGTGTTGCAAGCGCTTTGCTGTGGCCGGCAACAGCTTTTGCCACATTGCTTAGCAGTTCGGAAACGAATGTTCAGCTCTCCAACTCATCTGACGTTCTCATCGTCATCACGTACGTCATCACGTATCAGATACCACGATGTCACTCAACTGCCGAGAAAATGGTGGATTCCAGGCTCTGCTGATTATATTCTATGCAGCCATATATGCATGACACATCATGACACCAAAACCTAATGTTCCTGAACATTATTGACCTTCCAGTCCGGTGTGCCGGTAGAAACCTTACGGTCTCGCCACAGACCTATTTACGACAAACATGGACTCTGTCCACAAGATCTTCACTAGACACGGAAGAATCGCCCACCTGTGAATGATGAAGTACTGCCGGGTGCGACGCGCACAAGTAGCATAGTTGCTGCATGGGTGCAAACAACGATTGAGAAAGTCGATGGTGACGCTGACATCAGCGGCCGCTTACGGACACTGCACCCAAGGCCCACCTGCCTCGACCACCGATCTCACTGAATCAAGAAAAATCCCGAATGATACTACAGGTAACACCCGAGATGGTCGAAGCATCCTGGCCAAGACCCAGAAAGCCCGCCGCCAGATGCGAATGCGAATTGCGCTTGTTTTCTCACAAAGCTTGCTCTTGCCCGCTCAATTTGAAGAGCGGGCAAGCCTGCATTCTGGAAGAGGCCCTCGCCAAGTGCTAGCGCGTGCTACTCTGGCTGCTGCCATTCAATGCCAGCAACGAGAGCACATTACACGCATTACGCGGTGCGCCCGGTAGTCACTGCCTCATTCAGAGTTTCAACACACCCCGCAGCAAATCTGGATTTGAAGATTCAGGGATCTCTCGATCACGCCAGAAACCGTCTCCCGATGTGGTTCAGCATCAAGGCATCAAGCTTATCCGTAAGTGCAGAGCAGCACAAGGTGCTCCCTCCCAGGATACAGGCAAACTCAAGGAACTGCACTTCGCTTGAACTTGGAAAGCTCGGCTTTTGCCTGAACTTGTAACGTTTATGTTCGTTCTGCTCGCGTGGGCAATCAAGCTGCTGAAGCGTATGCTCATGACGAAGCATTTGACCAAGTTCAGACTCCCTCGTCACTCCAACTGGATCGGAAGCTTCTTCGGACCAGGAGTGGTGTACTAGACGAACAGATGTATTACAGTCTGGAGGTGGGGTTAGTTGGGAACGGGTGCGAGATCGCGCCGAGGGCTGGTGCGGCCTTGAGCAGTCAAAGAGAAGTGTTGGACTTGCTTGATGAGGTGTGACATGCGACTGAGTTGAGCTTCCCAGATCCAGCCAAAGGAGACGAGGCCCGAGGAGAAGTACTTCAGCTCACTTGCCCGGGGGCAGCCTTTTAATGCTAGGTTCCTCTCGGCTTTCAGCTCATTCAGGCTGCGGGCTCGGAGCAAGTGCTGCGCCATCGAGATGGGTTAACGAAACAGTTGCCACATGGCTCCTCTGCAGCAAGTCGATATGCAGAGGGATGCTTGTCGCGCTTCTTCTACAAACAGACACTGCAATCAAGTCAAGACTCGTTCTGAACCAGTTCACTGACAAGCAACGACAAGTGATGAACACAGCTGGCACCCGGAGGTGGACTTACCAACTGAGGCTCCCCGAATGCAAACATGTGTAGCGCTTCACATGGTTCGGAAAATTGCCAACCCAACCCCGGGTGCGCAATCACTCCAACGGGAACTCTGCCTGCTGCGACAGCCGCGCACGATGCTGAATCGGAGTGCCAACATGAAGAGTCTTTGTGCGAAGATGGTGTCACGACGTCTAAAAATCAGAACATGGCTTCGTGAGCACAAGGTGTTCAATGAAGCTCGGAGTGGCCAAAATTCGCCCTGTTGAGGAGGATCTACTGTAGTTCGAGCAGACAGCGATCCTCGTGTGGGGTGTACAGGTCCCGCAGCGTCCAACATTGCAGGTTGTGTTCCATGAGATGAGCGCTGGTCCCTCATGGAAACCATGGCATGAAAACTCAAAACTTTACAGAAATTTCTTGCGGATGAAGCCCACCTTGCCCGCTTGCAAACTCGCGGGAACGTGTCTGATATGGAATGTGTTCAACTCGTCTACCTATCGGCTGCCCATGGCTGCCCGCACACATGTTCATCCGCAGAGAGGTGATCCCGCCGCGGCAATCTAAGCCGACTGGAAGCCGAATCAGCAGTGACCGCGGCAGGAACCTCTGAGTGAAACCCGAGTCGGAAAAGATGGTCCAGCAACGAAGGATTTGCATAAACCTTTACCTTCTCTGGACAACCCACGGCCGGTCCATCTGAGAAATGATTCGCCTGAGTGGACGGCACAGCTGCGAATGTGGCTTGCTTGCTACTTTTTGTGTACAGCTGTCTTAAGTCCACTCCAGGCTGTGCAATGAGCTCTGGGGACAAGGTTCAAAGAGTGGACTTTGGGGGCAACTGGAGCCGCATGTGTTCACACGCCGACAGCAATGCTGCCCGAGGGAACAAATTCCAAGAGAGGTGCAGTGCTTTCATCACGGATTGAACGAGGTGTCCTACCCTCCCTGCCGCGAAGCTCAGACGAAGATAGTTAATTTCTGACTGTTTAATGCTTCGCGGTGAGGGTAGAAATAGTACGGATGATGCCCTCGTAAACTCCAAGAAGCCTGCACTGGTCCGTGCGCCAAAGTGGCCCCGGGCTTCCATCGTAAGGTCGCCGGAGCCCCAATGTCGCATTTCGCCCCTCATCCCCGACAGACGCATGACGGCTTCGATTTGGACAGTATGTTGAAGCCTGGTGAACCCACTTTGCTCTGCCGCCACACGCCCAGCTCGAAAGCTCGGGTCACACGGAGTGCCTTGACTGGCATCGGCACTGAGAGGCACCTCAGAGCACCAAACAGGGGGAACACAGAGCCCTGACAAACTGGCATTCAGTATGCGCAAGGTGTCCGCAAGTTGATGCGTCACTCAACGTCAGTTAGTAGCAATTGGAATGCTGCCCAAGAGCGACGCCAGGCATCTTTCAAATTCGAGAACCGCACCGTTAGGCCGACCCCTCCAGCACTAAAGCCCGTCGAAAAGGCCTGCCAAGAACATGCTGGCATGATCTCCAACGATCCATAGTGTCATAGTGGATCACGCATCCTGCTGTAACATTGGGGCTGCCAAGTCCGAAACAGCACAGCGTCGCAGCAGCCAAGTTGTCCCAGGCAGCTCAAAGCATTCAGCGGGCCAGGCCTTTAATTAAGCTCCTTGGCATCTATGGGAGGCGTTGCTACACGCCTGACAGTGGCATCCACACAGATTGCAAGAGCTCACAGGACTCTTCAGCGTACGGCGGTCCAAATCCCTGCCTCAACTGCGGACTGGCTGACCCCCGAACGTCGCAAACGGCATGCCCCTGAGCAAGTGAGATTGAGGGTGCTCCTTCAGGATTGTGCAAAGCACGATGGACAGTGAGGCGCAAGCTCCGCTTGTTGGTAGGCAAGGTTGACGGGGCAAACGGCGGGCACGAGAACGGGACACCTTGCCACTAAGGACGCGTATCTCTGCAGCATCCTCTGCCTTCTATGACCCCGGCCAAGACGACGCTTGGGGAGAACCCGTAAAGACCTCGTTTGCTGCAAAGCTGCGCAGCAGCGAAGAACTTCAAGCTTACTTCGTTGATCGGCTTGACGTACAGCGGAAAATAAAAGCAGATGATGCGCAAGGCGAGGAGCTTCGAATAACAGCGATTCAGTTGAGCTCACCGCCTGGTAGGTTGTCGGTTGTAGCCCTGATCACGCGCTTCTACAGACATGGTTGCAATAGACCAGAGGCAATTCGTGTAACACGTTGCGTATGGAGTTGCAGTTGAAATGTGAGACCACTTCGCCTACACCAAGTATGCACAAGCTGCACAACGTCGCCTTCGTATGCGAAGCCGTTGGGGGTGAAAGGCCTCGCTGGTTGCATGCCAGACCCGCCGATCGGAGGCCCGATAGCCGACAACTGGGAATTCAAGCAGCAGAGCTTTCATTGATACTTGTGGCATGTACCTTCGGCCGGATGCCTGGAAATGACACGCAACTTCGAAGGCCTGCAAGAAACGACTGGCAGGAGGCAGTGGCTCTACCATGCTGGTGCTAAGGCATGTCTGCATGTACATTGCTCTTGTACGTACTAGATGGCAGATACCAGATACTTGAAACCGTTGGCGACATGGCTCGCAAGAATGATGGCGTAATCTTGACTGCCGGAGAACTAAGAGCTCCACGCAGGGGACGGACACGATGAGGACGAGGATGCTGCCTACAAACCCATCGGTCTCGTGCAGCTAAGGTGCGGGACGTTGCAGGTTGAAGCCTTCGGGCTGCTGTCCCACTTGGCACGAGTTCGAACACAAGAGCGCCAAACGAAGCTGCCAAACCTCAGGCCGAAGATTTTGGAATTACGCCGCTCGTGAACCCAATCCACTTCCACGGCAACCACAGATTCCAAAATGAGGGGCTAGCTTTTTCTTCTTCAGCTTGCGCCTGTCAACTCTAGTGTCCAACTCCGTCTCCTCAGCAGACTGAACAATGCGCTACAGTGGGAACCAACTGGTTAAAGCTCAGAAAGTGTCCTTGTCTGCGGATATGGGGTCTCGTATGGCTTCCATGGTCGTTCAGCGTTGACTTAGGCTGAAGTTGGGTACACTGGCGTTCATGACTGTTTGGAAGTACTTGTTGTTCGGCTTCGCGGGTATTGGGTCACGCAGATCGTCCATTCCTAAAAATTACTGACTGTACCGACATCTTTGTGTCGCGACTTCCGCATGATCTTCAGCCACATCAAGAGCAGACTTTCTGGCCTTGTGCCGGCACACACATACAGAGAGACACATACACACATACACATATGCACGCACACAGAGACACGCAAACAGACAAAGATCGAAACACGCACACACGCACATATACATATATACATATATACATATATACATATATACATATATATATATATGCACATACACATGCACTCGCAGGCATGCACACAAACACACAGTCGAACAAAGAATCAAACAAACGCAAGCAGACTGCGCAACACAGGCACATACGGGTACGCACAACTTCAATCAAATCTGGCGGTGCCTGCTCGCAAAGAATGAGGTCCGCACCAAAATGCAGAGAAAGTGTTCCTGGAGTTCTGCGGAAGCATTGGCCTTGACAGGCTCTGAAGACCCACACCCGATGCGAGATTGCCAGCATTGACTCGACAGGCGGCAGGACGAGCTGGAAGACTTGCGAATGCCACCATCATTTTCCAGCATAGACTGCCTTCTCTCTCAGATGCTGGCCATTGCTTTTTCAAGAACGTGGCTGGCGAACCTAAGGAGTGCGTTTCGATTTCGGCAATGTGAGTCCCATAGCCAAGCGCCAGGCTTGCTGTTCGCCATCTCGAAGAGGACCCCTCTGTCATGTTGGACGAGCCGCAGCAGCTCCTGTTCTCCCGGAAGGCGCTCTGTCCAACAGGCGGCTCGCGCTGACGGATTTCCTCTGCGATTAGGTCCCTTTGGCTTTGAGAAGCCATCCTCGGCAAGAGATTTAAAAAACTCTCAGGCATGCATGAAAAGGCTCAGCATCTTGCTCCAGGAATTTCTGCACCTTGAGATAGGGTGCGACTGGACATATCCGTCTCCATATCTTCGGACAGGAAGCAGATTTTGCATTTAAGGTTTGCGCGACATGATTTCCATACCGGTTCATTGCGACCCTTGGCCCAGGCATGATTCGCAGATACCCCTGCAAAGGTGCCATCACGTGCGTGGACTCGAGTGCCCTGTGCTGGGGAGCAGACTCCCGCAGTCTCGGAAGGATTTGCTCCAGGAGCTGCCTTGGAATGTGTAACGCCCACCTCCCGGGACACTGTGGGTCACAGCAGCTAGCTTCCGCAGTCGCGGTGCAAGGTATGCTCGTTCTTGTCACCAACGTGCTCGATGATTCGCTGCATCACCTTGTACAAGCAGGCATCCAATCATCTCACCACTACGATGGTACGCCAAGTGACACGGCAGCCTTGGGCATCCATAGCCACCTGCCCAAACTTCAACTCGATTCGAACACATTCACAAGATAAGACGCTGGTGTGTTTCTCGCACCGTTTGGACGACTCAATCATAGCATGTCCTCAACCCCCCGCTCGGCTTGGGCTGAAGACCGGGGAAACATGAGGGCAAGCGAGCAAAATCGAACATCCCCACAACGATCACCTGCATGAGCGGCTCCCCTGTACCCCTCCCCATCTGGCGTCGCACGGATGCCTGTGGAACGCAATCCTTGAGCTCCTGCTCCAAGCACGGCTCAGCAAGACTAGTAGTACCAAATGGGGGTTCCCGGTAAAACACGAGCATCCCCAAGCCCACACAAAACAGGGGAACTCCTCGAGGATAAACTTGAAGCGCTCCGGCGACAGAGCCTTGGAAATCGCGAGTTGCTTTTTCTGACTCAAGGAATCTGGGCAGCGCCTGGATGCAAGCTTGCAGGACATAGTTGGAGAAGTTCGGCTTGGTGAAAAACGCCTCAGCAAAGGCGATCAAATGGGCGCCCCTGGCCCCTGTCTCCAAAAACCTGACTGCGCGAGAGCCTGCATGACGTGCGTGCGCAGCTCCGAGATCACCTGACATCCGTGGAGCACATGAACAATGCAGTATCGCATCCGTGGGAGGCTTTGAGAGGCTAAGGCAAGGTCAGTGTCAACAGCAGCGTTCCAGTCCTAGCACTGCCCCACTTCTGCCAACATGCAGCGTGCCCTGATGTGGGCAAGTCTGTCTGAAACCTATCCGTTCGATATGGCTTGTTAGCAAACCAGGAAAAAGCTGCAAAATCCAGTCTCCTTGGCGCCACCGCTCTTCACGTGACCCCCAGACACGAGCAACTGCCAGGAAACGCAATGGAGCAGCTCGAATCGCTGTCTCGTCGCACAGGCCGAGGCCTGTTGCAGCTGCTCCGAGCCTGCCTTTGAGCAGCTAAGCTTCCACACCTTCCTGAGCAGCTTGAGCACAGAGAGACGCAGTTCAGACACACCAGGTCCAAGAGCCGATCCCCCGGATCTTCTTTTGAACCTGCTTCCAGTCTCGCACCTGCGATGTCCATGGCGCTGTTTCTGCTTCGGCTCGGCGTCCCCTCGGGCACCTTGATCAGCGCATCCAGCTCCAAGGCAGCAGCGCTCTCTGCCTGCGAGCACATCGTAAAGCTAGCCTCACGTTGGATCATCTGATGCCTGTGGGATGAAACTTGTGCATGTGCTGCATGTCGCCTCTGACGAACCATAGCTCAGCTGGTTCGCCGAGGTATGTGGCTCGGCATTTGACCTGCAACGACGAAGCAGAAGCAAGACAAATAGGGCCACTGCCACAGCCGGACGCGCCCAATTGACTGCATGCAGGCGGTGCTCTTGTAACTCATGATGCCACGGCAACCGAAAGCTTGAGAATCACGCTGGTTGTGGGGCTCATGCAGCACATGATGTGAAGGCCGCCGACCAGCGTAGCAGGATTCCCACCTGGCATTGAGAGGGCCTCCTCGCCCGTCGACCGTAGCACAGTTTGTATTCTCACTTCCCAGAGACTGACAGTGATGATAGTTACATGGCACTTCTTTCTACTGCGAAGGATAAGTCTGCATCTTGTTCGTGTTGTATTTTGCAGCTTGCTCTTGTGATGTTCTCCAGTGAGACGCTGACCACATCGGGCACAGCTGAATCGGTTCGCTGATTTCTGTGCATTGCACGAGTCTAGCAGCGATAGGCTTGTTTAGCTAACGTTTCACTGAATGCGTCGGCTTCTGCAGCCCTGACGCACGGCTTGCAAGGCTTTCGCAGCTTCTTTCTGGGCTTCTGCTCCACCGCGGCATCTGCAGAACACATTCCACTCGAAATGCCTTTAGAGACGTGCACTTGAGGTTGCAAGGAACAGCTCCCGAAGACAGCTTCCCAGGCAGTTGAAGTTGCCCCGGTTTTTCTCCATCCCACCGGGGCCTCCGCGTTTGGGGGGGCTCTCTAGAGCCGCTTGGTGTGGGACGTGCCTGAGCAGTGGATGGTGCTGGGCTCGGCCGAAGGTGCAACGGATATCAAAGGATTGGGTTACTGTACCCGGCCTCAGCATCTTCCTGAAGCAAGGTGTTGAGCAGCCTGCAGTGTTGCTCGAAGCTCAATGCTCGCAAGAAACAGACTGCAGCCCCTGCATTGGAGCATCGCCTCGCCTTTCGAGATTGCGCTGGTCGGTCTCTTGCTGGCTCGAAGGCGCACACGGCCTCTGTGTCGGGCGAGCTTTGGTTACAACGTGCAGAGGCACACGACTGTGTAGACTTCGAGAATGCGGAAATCCTGATGTCTTGTTTGCCTCAGGTTCTCGGTCGCCCAACAGGCAACGCCGGGCGTGTAGACGTGGGCACGGCTTAGGTTCTGCACGGAGCCAGGCCTTGCACACTTCGGCCTTCGGCTGCTTCAAGCTGCTTTAAGCTGCAAGCCGACCGAGCTGAAGATTCGTCCTTTGCCCACCCTCCGAAGCTTGGTACCGCGGTGCTTGTGACCAGCTGTGAGCTTGACAGTCACTCTCCCTGGCAATGGTGAGTGATGTGAGTGGTGTCTGCGATGTTACAGGGGATGTCGGCATCGTGCTTGGGCCAAAAGCTTCTCGCGCGGCCCTTAGCCAAGCATTCAGCTCCGAAGTTTTGTACAACACAAAGTGTACCTCCAGTGGCCGCCCCTTCTCCGTCCCTGAGAAAAGTCTGCAAGCTTCGATGGCGGCTCGCGCCCCAAGTTCCACAGGGCAGCCGAAGAGCCCACAGCCCAGGGCTGGGATGGCCACGGCTTGAATCGCACAACGCTCGGCAAGCCGCAACGCCGACAGAAATGCTTGCTCCAACAGCTTGGTTGCCTCTTCAGGCGCATGGGCCGGAAAGACTGGAGCCACAGCATGAATCACATGTCCGACATGCAAGTCGGCACCAGCTGTGATCCTTGCTTCACCGGTTGGACATCGCACCCCTGGGGCGATCTCCGGCAAGCTGGCGCACAGGCGCCTTAGCTCTGGTCCTGCGACTCGGTGAAGAGCAGCGTCAACCCCGCCGCCACCAAAGTCATCACCTCACACTTGCGAGCAAGGCAACTGTGCTCATAGGCAACCACTGCAGTACCCTCCAATCACTCTACGGAAACTCCGAAAAAATGCTCGACGACTTCAGTCACCATAATCCTCGTCGTCACCAACAGCGCCCAACAACTCCTCGTTTGCTGCGTTCACGATGGCAGTTTGCATGTCCCCACAAGGCCGCCAGGCAACAATGTTGTTCTGGCAGATAACAATTCGCAGTCCATTGACATCGAAGGTCCACTGCTCGTGTCGCGGCATGAGCTAAGTGAGCCCCATGGCTTCTGCACAGGCGGCCGATTCCACTGCACCACACAGACTCAGATGAGCTGCGGTTAGCTCTGAGAGCATGTGACGCATGTGAAGTTAGCGAGCCCCAGGCCGCAGCAGCTCAGCAAGTAACAACCTCAGTGGCACGACTGATGTATTCAAGTCACTCCGATCAACAGAAGGCACAATAAATGAGGGCACTTGTTTGGAGCGAGCAACAGACAAGACAGCTGAAGCCGAAAGATTGCGCCGAACCCACAACCACTGAGAGTCTGCAGCCCGGACTGCTGCCTTGGTACCAGAAGTCCGGGTACCTGGCAGGCAGCTGGTCTGCTAGCTGGCACCCGCGATGACCGCGAATTAAAAACTGCACAAAGAACCTGTGGCTGAGCTGCCCCCCGCTGCGCGCCAAAACTGCGACAGGCAGAGCACGTTCAGAGCCAAGCATGGTTTTTGGAGATGCTAGTGCGTCGTTTTACACAGACCGGCGATGCAGACAGCTCAACAGCGAGTTTCGCATGAGTATGCTGCATGCTAGACCCTTCTCGCTGCATGGTGGACCAAGCAACTTTGAGTCCCCATAGAAGCGCCGTCGACAAGACTCGTTTATATCACTGCAAGCAGAAATCGTCTGACAGCAGCTAGCGAGGGCATTATCTACTTTTCCGATCCAGCCAGCTCAAAATGTGCTCGCCGCACTCGGGCAATGTCCTGGAAGTCTGCTGCCACCTCGCATCATTGGCTGCAGTGGCACCAGGGCCTTGGCAGATTGGATTCGACGTGCTAACACCATCTGATGTCCGACGCTGAGCACAAGACGGAGCATCTGCCCCTGATGCAACAAGCACATTTTTTGACTTCAGGAAGCAGCAAGGTCCGTGGTCTTGGTGGCTGCCAACATCGTTCGGAAGGCTAGCAAAGCGTGCCTGAACCACGTGTGCCCAAGGCCTAAGCATCGAGAGTGCATCGCCAGAATGGACAGGCGCTTCGGCCCTGATGCCGGCTCACAGAACGGGCAACGCAAGCGAAGACATGACTGCGAAAAGAACATAAACCGAAAGTGCAACGTCAGGTCAGCTAAGAGCGCGGCGTCACGTGGCCATGCGCGCCTGACTCTGCTGGGCAGGGCAAAGTTTGCTCAGACTCAGCTACCGTAGCACAGGAACCGGAGCCCTTTTGAGGGCAATTAGTTCTTTGACGCAATGCCTTCCACATCGTCTACCTATCTGGACATGTTGGATTCTGAAGCTTCCATCCCGTCTTCCTCGGCCCCTTTTATTGGATGGTAGTCCGGACAGCACCCGAACCGAACCGACTCTTGCGGTAGCAACTCCGGTAGTGAAAATTCGCCATTTGCCACCAGGATCCTGCTTTCTAGTATCTGAATGTTAGAAAGGGCTCTTTGAACTATCTGCAAAGCATACAGGATCCGGTGGCATGCGTGGCCTGCCAGCCGCAGGGCCAAGGAGCTGCGTTGTGGAGCCGAGAGCAGCAGCAAGTCCGACATCCGACAACTGATCCCTTTCACCAGCCGAATCTCTCTCGTCAAGCCTGGGCAGTAGCATGAGGAAGCAAAACCACGAAAGCCTCTTTTTGCTTTTCTCCAGGCGGCACTCAAATAAACTCAATGACTCCCTTTTCGTGGCCGCCGCGCACCAGCGCCTCAACTCAGACAAATTTCAAAGACAAGCGTGCTTAAATGCCAGTACCGACCCCGACAACTGCATGATCCCAAGCATGAGTCTATGCAGATGGATGTTGCTACCCATTCACCACTCCCTCTGTTCTCAGCATGCAAAAGCTCTGTGAATTGGAAAGTCGTGGCTGACAATGCGACTCGTCTTGAAGCTAGGCGACCTTGTTGCTGTCAAACAACTTGCGCTGCGCCTGCAAGGAGGCAAGCTTTCAGGGTTAGCTTGAAGGGACGGTCTTCCAGCGTTAGATGCAGTCAGCCTCCATGTACCGACGATGGCCCTGCCGACGCGGGCCGTGAATAAAACTTCGAGATCCAATGCTGGAAATCTTCGAAATGAACGAACTAGCTGCATGCATGGGTCCTGGACTCTGCACGCTTTGACACTCAGCTTGATCGACCCATTGGCCGGCCTCCTCCACGGCTTCGTCAGAAACCTCGCCACCAACCTCTTTCGCCCATAAATCCTGCCGGAACACTGGAGATTCACACTGGGGCTGGTCAGAGTTACACGAAACGCAGCAATCGTTCTTTTTCGCATGGGATTTAGAAGCAACTCGGTTCAAGCGGGACAGTGCCACTGTGCAACTCATGCTCCGGGCTTCTGAAGTCGTGCCGTGAGCCCAGCACAACACGGAGCACAGAGGTTGAAGTGCCGCTCCTCCAACGAGATCGGAACTCCTGCAAATTGAACATCATTGACAAGCCTTTTTCAAGCATTGTGGTCTCCACTGCGCCTGTCACCATGGTCAGCGGTGGCAATTGCGGAATCCCAGCGAACCCGGGAGGTACCTTTCATCTCGCAGGCAAAGGGGCCATTGGACTGACGTCAAACGGCCCGGCCGAGCTGCTAAGAGTCCGGTGATGCTCTTGAACAACTGCTGCAGCTGCGTGAGCCACGCAGGCCTGGAACGAGAAAGAACACGTGGCCGCAAGGCGCCACACAACGTGACAGGAAGGCAAACTGGGTGGACCACGGGTTCCTGATCTGAGGAATGATGGACTCATCGCCGAAAGTCCACCTCAGCAAACTCCTGTTGTCTCTGGAGGAACTCCGAGAGGCTCCCGCATTGGAAGGATGTCCCTCCGCTCCTCGAGGGCAAGCCGCACAAATCCTGGCATGAAAGAATTGAAGCCGAAGTGTCAGACAAGATCCAGACAACTCGGTCTGACCTTTGTGGCACTTGACGTAACACACGTAGCGCCCTGGAGTCGCATAGGCACTCTCCTTGCGTCCAGGGGCTGGTTGATCGAACCATCATTGTCAGTCACAGCTTCTAAGAGGAGAGGCGAGAGCGGGTAGAGCGAAAGAGAAAGATACAAAGAGAGACAGAGCGGGGAAGACAGAGACGGGAAGAGAGCGAATCACGGACGGAGAGAGGCTCCTGTGCTCCGCCCACGAAGATTGCGACGTCGCGCCCAGCCCGGAGGCGGTCGCGGATGAAGGGCTTGGTGCATTCAAAAGCACCTCACCGCAGTCTGCCCGGACACGTTGAGTTTGCGCCTGCGTCACTTGCGGCCCAAGCCCAGCGCCCAGCGTGGTGAACATCTCGTAGAATCCAGGGAACAGACCGCAGGCTCCAGACCTAAGGTTGAAAGCTCGGTGACTTCCTATGGGACACTTCAGTTTCAGAGACACGGACGCAACGGCCGCACGAAGCTTCATTTGCCTGTGGCATGCTGACAGGCAAATCGTGCAACCTCAATCCTGCATGCATTCGCATGATCCAGGCATCGAGAATGCAGGCCTGAACCAGCGCTGATGCAGAAGTTCACCTCCGTTCTCCTGTGCCACTACATTCGACCCAGGCTTCTGACAGTTCTTCGCCAGACCCTCTGGCGACATCAAACCCGCACCCAGCCAGCATCCCTGGTGACCCGGGCGTGCCGGCTCGGGCAACTCCACTCCGGAAGCTGTGCGGCCGCGAAGACCGCCCCCCGCCTCAGGGGCCGCGGCTTGTGCACACCATGACACACCACAGTCACATGCTCCTAAACCGCAATTCGCAGGTCGGCTTGCAGCAGGAATGTCACAATGTGTGGAGCCGGATGCGCACACGGCACTGGACGGTGACGTTGACTCCATGCCGACAAGATGCCCAGGTTAGCCCGGCCAGGATGGCACCGACGGGCAGCAGACCATGAGGATGCATCCCGATCACCTCAAAGAACGTTGAATCAGGTGGCTTGGGTCTGACGCGGGTGTAGTTCCTACACCATGGAATGACCTATGAGCCTCTGGCATAATGCCTGTCCATCCAGTGCCGGATCTCGCTGGGGCTAAGCTGCCTCCACTCCTCGGAGAGGACGATCTGTGCGTGGCCGAAAGCGGCGGAGATGATGCGCCAGAGGCGCGAGCGTGTTACGGTGTCCGACCAGCCGCGATCATCGCGGGTGGAACCGCGCTCACTCAGAGGGCCGCGGAGGGCCCAAATGGCCCAGGGCACATGAAGACAGAGCAGGCGCAGCAAGAACGCTGATCGCTCGGTCTTAGGAAAAACAAGGAATAGTTGACCAATCCGCCTTAAAGCGGCGTCAATGCTCCCGAGCAAGCCAAGGTAAAAGATCGATTTCATGATCTTTTCTCGGCCTGCCGGTACTACAGATGCTCGATAGGTCAAGCCACGCATGTAAAAGTTCCTCTTCCAGACGATCGCCGTCAGGACGAGAAGGCATAGTGGACCAAAGTCCCGACCTAAAGCGAGAAGAATTGATGCCATCGCGTCGAAGGCCGTGAGGCCGCACGCCTCGTTTGGGACGGGGGTGGGATATTAACCCACGTGCCCAATCTCCAGCCGAAAATCCTTGAAACATCGTTAATTAAGACCGTTGAGACCATGTGCAAACTGTAGACGCACATTGCAGATGCTGGCTGTTCAGGGACTGACTAATCTGTGCCTCTGCATGAGAGCGCCTTCGGGTTAGGCTGGAGCCGAGCTGTGGACGGCCGGCAGAAGACTTGGAGGGTCGGGGGACTTGTAAGTAGTTGTTTTTGTCTTATACGCATCATAACCCCAATTAACACCCCTTTGGGCGTACTTCCATAAGTCTGTCAGTCTATCAGTATCACAACCCCAGCTAGGACCCCTTCCACGGTACTTATATAAGCCTACTTACTACCTACTTGCTAAGTCGCCCGACCCTCCAAGCAGCGTCTGCAAAAGTCGCACACCTGAAAGCTTCACTTGCAGCCAGCAACGGCCGTTAGCAACAATGCTCATCCCCTTTTCAACGAAATGTCCATGCGCCGCAATTCCCGCTGTCGAATCTTCCAGCTCTTACTCACGTGTTTGTGAGCTCGAGTCGCATGCATTTGGGCTGGTTGCTTGAAGTTATAGGACTCCCTAGCTCTGACGACCGACCTTTGAAGGAGCCCTTGTCTGTTGTCGGACTCATCCCCGGCCCAAATGAAAGAAGGAAATGACCAGCGCAACTGCCGAGTAACAAATGAAAACGCAGCATCCTGTCCCAATCGTGGGCGCTTGCTTGTTCAACATGGTGAAGTAGGAAAAAACTGACCCTCAGGCCATCCGGGGCGGGATGCCGAACTATTAAACTGTCAGCGGAGTGAAGGCAGATCACCCGCAATGCTTCAGGCTTTCTCAGCGCCCTTTGACTGGAGTTTGGTACGTTGTTGAGGCCCGATGCATCGCTTCGGCGGGTGGCTTTTGCCTGATACGGCCGCCTCTCACCTTTCACGCTTTACATGCACGGTGGGTCCTGCCAAGGCAGGACGAGGCCGAATCACATCCTGTGACGTGAAAGCGGCCAAGCTGGCAGAATTCTGCCTGCGCAGTGCGGGTCACTGCTGCGCATCAGACTCTGCAGTTTCGAAGGCATAAGCTCGGCTTGAGCTGGCAAGGCAGAGTTGTGTTGCCCGCCCCCCTCTTCTAACAGAAAACGATTTCGAGCTCAGGTCAAGCTGATGCCACATCTCTTCTGAACAACCTTCATGCTGAGGTGATCAGGAGAGCCTACTTCTCTGAGCACGTACGCATGATCTGACCAGGGCAAGGCAAGGTCGCGATTCTTTCACTTCTTGGCAGAATCGCATGAGTTCATCTCTATGTTCCAAATGGTCAAGTTGCCGCAGTCTGATCACCTCGCCCGCACCAGAGATCCACAGCTGCTGACACCCAGCATAGACGCCATCGAAGATATTGAGCTGCCGTTTTCTGAAGAAGGGAGGCCGCCCGTCTTCAACAATGGTAGATCAATTGGAAGCCAAGCTGGAGTTGGAAGTTGGGCCACCGCAGTTCAGAGACGAAAGTCATCAGTACATTCAAAATTGTCGCAACAATGACCCTGTGATTGCGTAAATGAGAAGATTACCCTCCACCCTCCGTGGTGCTGAAAGGACCGCCGAACACGGTAATGTAACAGAGGTCATTCAACCGCGGGGTGTCGTTAAGGAAAGCTGGGCGCCGTGAAGCTGCGAATGACCCATAACTCCCACGCAAAAGGGTGCACTCCTTGACATCACAAGTTGTGCTCCTGTAGTCCACTCCTTCTCACCCCTAATCAACAGTGACAAGTCGTAACTTCCCCAGACTACAACTTCCACAGCGAGAAGTTGAGGATGCCCCGAAGGGCCACACGCGCAACACTTCGAGCAGGATCCAGCGCCCGCGGGACTTCAAGAGGGCGCGCTGGCCACACGCGACCCTCCGCAGGTGCAACTTGCGCATCCATAGCTGTAAGCTCCCTCTGCCCGGATTCGACAAAACACAAGCACGATTCTGTTGAAATTAACACTGCAGCTTGCCTGCTAGTGAACCCTTCCCGATCTGACGACTAGTCTGGCCACAGCTCTTCTGCGAGGAACCGCCGAAATCGCCCGAGGGACAGAGCTTCACCAGCCTCCAATGACGACCAGCTGAGGTGTTCTCGGCTGTGGCGCGGGGTGCGGTTAGCATCTGTGCCCGTGACACTTCGTCATAAACGAAGCTCACAAAGCCAACTGCACACAACTTAACAAAACCAACTTGGTTTGATGAGTGTGGCTTGCCACTCCTCCATTTGTAGAGCAATGCTTGAACACGCGCGAAATTTCAAATACAGCTGGGTCTTCGTGACTTATACCTGAAATTTCTGCACTGGAGTTAACGCGGCTTCTAAAAGTCCAGGCTTCAGGTCCTGCCAACGGTCTCTTCGAGCCGTGGCGACTCCTGCACCTACTGGACCATAAGCGTGACGAAGTCTGACGAAACATGCTACACTCCCAACTCTATAGCTGCCGCCTCTAGGCATTCTAGCCTTAAGTCAGTCCTAGCCATCTTCAGCTTTTCCCTATTGTCTCGGAGGGCATGTTCAATCGGCGGCAGGTGTATGGGAGTCTTGAAGCACGATTCTCTGCCCAAGCCTTGCAAAGAGTCACAACGAAGGCCCGCCGGCGGAATCGAAACTTACATGACTGCAGGCATGCGGGACGTTCTTGGCGACCTTCCATGTCAATCTTCTCCGGCTAGCTCAAGCCATGCAGCCCCGAGCAAACGCCCGAGGATAGCCTTCAAGTGGAATCTGTTGCAGCCTCCAGCCTCTTACTCTGGCACGGACCTTTGTATATAAGCACCCTCGGAGGGTTTGGGGACTACATGGTTCAGCGACACGGAACGTGGGAAATCCTTGAAAATTGTCGGCAGCAGGGCGGCTGCATGAGCTTTTGTGCAGCTCCCGTTGGCCAAGCTCTTCTCGCTCTTCGAACCTTCGAACCATCTTGAGATTTCTTGCGTCGCTTTACCCCAGACATTCGGTTTTTCTGAATCGGGAGTTGGCTCCGGTCAGCCCCTTTGCCACATCCACGCCCCACTAACCACGGGGGGAAGCACACGACCTTGCAGGTGACCTTATGGCCAAGGGTCTACCCCGACATCTCTTTGAAACGTCCAGGGACAGGTTCTGAAATCCTGGCGACTTCGGAACTATATAGGTTTCACGTGGATCAAGCAAAACAACAAAATACACCGCACGTTCGAACATATCCTTAGTTAACTCACCTCTGGAGCTTCTCACTGGCGGGGACACAGGCCTCCGCCTTTGCGACCACGTGAGTTACCACCACGAACGCGGAGCCGAATAAGGAAAAGGCACCGCTCAGATCGTGATTTTTTGCCTGGCAGAAGCTTCAAGTCTCGGTGCAAGTACAGGTCGGCAATGAGAAACAGAGCAACCTTTTTCTGGGCAGTCAGATGGGTCTGAAAAGTCTGCTAGCGGCAGCCACGAGGGAGCGAAAATGTATCCACAGAGTTCACAGGGTCCATTGATCCACGGATCCAAGGATATCCAAGCTGTTTACCAATGGGCGCAGCGTGCGTCGGATTCTCAGGGCCCTGTCAGCTCCGTGACACTCTGTGATCCCGATGAGGTGTGCTGTTCGAAATGCTGCCTTCCTGGGCCGTGCTCAGTGCAGAATAGTTTGTGACGGATGCCTTGATTTGACTGCCTCTCACCCATCCGCTGCCACGCATTTTGCAAGGTATTTCCTCGCGATGCTCCATTGTTCGTAACATACCTTAAGGCCTTAAGGCCAAGAGAAGCAGAAACCAGCCATGACCACATGCAGAATCTAGAACTGATGTGCTATGCATGCACCCACGTATACTTGTCAGATTCTCGAACACTTTCATGCCGGCATGTCCACTCTTCACGCAGAAGTGCATACGTACATGCAGGCATGACGTGCTCTAGTACTGTTTATAGTTTGAAAAACGTTTACCTAGGGTCTACTTGTAATTCCCTAAACCTCAAGCCCTAAACCCTAAACCCTAAACCTCAAACCCTATTATACTTCATGCAGAGACAATACAAGCCTCCTCGACTATGTCAATCCATGCATTGACCGGAGACCTAGCCTAGCAGCCTAGCAATTGTGCTCGCTCCAAGAGCCAAGGTCCGACGCACTCGGAGCCCTGGTGTCTATGTTGTGCTGACCCAGGCATGACACTGCCCTCGAGCTTGGACAGCTCGGTGAGATGCTCAGACCTGGTAAGGCCTGGCTGAAACAGTGCAGGACTCCGCCAGTGTGGCGTGATGTCCGTAGCAAGCGTCACCTGCTCCTCCGCTTTTTTCTGCGCATCCACTGGGCTTGTTAGCGAAGGTTCTCTGAGGTTCCTGAAGAGCAGGTCGAAAAGCTTTGTGTTGGGTGTCGGAACGTGGTCTGAGCACGTACTGTGTCAGCACATAAACTCCTACCCCTCAATCTCCCGACGGGAAAGGAAAGGTCTCCGGGAGTCCCGTTCCAGGTCTACCACGGTGACACAGCAACTACTGAATCTTAAAGCAATGCAGTACTAGTGGCATCCACGCGGACGCTTCTGTACAAGGCTGTAACAGCTTCTCACCACGGAGCCTGACACAGCACGAGTTTCCATAAGCAGAGCTTCTCTGCTGACCTTTGAAGCAGACCCACAGAAGGCCTCGGCCTTCTGGTTCAAGTCCTTGCAGCTCACCGGCTTGCAAGGCGGCTTCGTGCTGACACTCTGCAGGCGCTTTTGCAATGCTTCTAGATTCTATACTCGGAGGACTGGGATGCTTCTGGGAGGGCGGTCCAAGCACAAAAAAAAGAAACCTTTCCAACGGGCCACAGATGTTTAGTGGCCTTCGGCAAGGACAGTTCAGGTGTACGGCTGCAGTGTCTCGCGCGCCGACGTGTCGGATGCCGTCGGGTCGCTGCCCGAAACTTGTATTCTACGACTTCTGTTGAGTTTTTCGGCTTCACAGGAGACTGTCATGCCCGCAGCCGAGATGAGAGAGCATTGCACCAATCAAGGCCCCTGCTAGAATGGTTTGTGCCAACCCCATACACCCTGCTACCCTCCGAATTGGCCTCTTGGGTTGGACCCGGCTTCTGCGGAACCGTCGGGTCATCCACGGTTTTGCCTTCAAGCATGGCTGAGCAAAAACGAAAATGTTTCGTTTCACTTTCATCTTCAAAGCGGCGCCCCCGGTTTCGAGCCTGGCGCTGGTCCGCCACTCCCAATGATTGTCCCTGGACACAAGGGACGGGAGAGACAGGGATGCTCTGTTCCAGAGGCGGTGCCGTCAGAACGGCTAAACATGAGAGGTCCCCATTGCTGCACACATGCTCCGTGTGAGTGGCATGCCGCATGCACCGGTTCCTGACTCCCCGCGCCTGCAGCAGTTACATGACGCTCACCGGACGCAATCCTGACACACAAGATCACACAAGCATGCTAATCGAGTGATGCGAGTCGGCTGCTTACTTTTCCTGAGTGGCCTCCAATCTGGGCTTGCATCCCATACACTGAGGTTGACGCTCTGTGATGGCCCGACGGCGGCGGTACAGGATCTGGCATTGCACAGCTTCACAACCCCGCTGGTGTACAGAGCCGACAAAGCACACAAAATGCAACCTGCAGATGAACCCACATCCGACATCCCCGACCCTCCCTCCCGTCGCCAAGCCACAAAGAATCCGAAGCCAAAGCCGGCAAAGATCACGGCGATGGCGACACCCACGATCTCGGCGTCCGGGCACACAAGCTACCGCGGTTGGTCAGCTGCGATGCTTGAAGTGTCGACGCCTCATGCTGGATCTGGGGCCTCCACGACTCCAACTGGCAGGTCTCCGGTGGGAATACCTGCACGGTGCCGTCATCCCCACTGCCAGGCTGCATTCTTGAGTCGGCCTCCGATGGTCTGCCAGTTCTTAGATGGTCAGAAGCTCGAGTTGAAAAGGGGAAAATCCTGACTTGGCTGCTTGGCTTCAGACATTCCGGGGCTCCTTCTCGTCGTAGGCACCCTTGCAAGCGGATTCGTTGGAGACGGAGCTGCCTTTCCCTGCATGCGCTGGCCTGGTAGGGATCCGTGCGGTCGTCAATCACATCCGTCCTGTCTCCACTGCCTGAGAGGGGGCCCGGGCTGAAGAGTCCCAAAGCCTAGGCCTTCAGGTCTCTTTTTTCTTGGTATCCTTTCGCACGAGTTCGCGGATGCTTCTGATGACGGGAGCCATCCTGATGTTGATTTGCACCTGTACATGGCAGATCACGGCAGCGTGGTGCTTAGCCACAAACAGAAGGAAGTGCGAGTTCTTTTGACTGCTGAAATATTGAGGGGTCAGAGGACATCTCCTGCCCTCACATCCCGCACCCCAAACCTTCGCCCTCTGCCAGAGAGGACGGTTCATGACTGATCTCAAGAGTCTGCATGAAGGCCGGCAGACGAAGCTCAATTTGCAGGACGTCAAGCTACGCCGAACAAGCCCACGGTCGGACAGATGGCAGGTCCGGCGCAGCACTCAGTTAATCAGGCTAGAGACCCAACCAATATCTGTCGAAGCCACAGTCTGTTGTGCTAGCCTGGTAGCAAACCTCTGCGCAACCCGTATGAACGAGACGAGTCTCTCCAGAAAGGTGCAGTCAGCACCCTTGACCCTGAGCGTGGCCGATGCACAGAAAGCTAGGCAGCCGCCACAATGGTGAAATATGCAGCTTTTGTAGCCGCACCGTTTATTGGAAAAAAAAGGCTCCCGTTGCTACACTGTTCCATCCCAACTTGTACACTACCCAAGTGTTGTCGAAGAGAAGCATCCGAAGGGCAGTATAGTGAGCTGAGAGCTGCGGCAGCTGTGCTCAGCCTTCGGGGCGTCTCATGGACCCCGAAGCCGCAGCACTGCAAGTGGTCTGGCCCTGAAGCACTAGGACAAAGGGTTTCCAGACTGAATTTGAAGTTGGAATTGTCCGTCCCGACCTTTGATGAGGTCTGCTGCTCATCTTCACGAAATGGTCGAATTATCTGGCATTCGTGGGTGTGCAACTGTAGCGCTGAGCCCACTTTGAGGACCTGAGCACCCTCCCTCCGGAGGGAGCTGACTACTTGGAACTGCGGACGACTGGCGTCTGATTCTCTAAAACTGACTTGGCTCAGGGGCACACTTGCCCTAGCAGATTAGGAAATTCTCTTGCAATGCCAAACCCCCCAACCCTGAGCCTTCAGCGATTCAGCGAAGCCTGAACAAAGCTTGGAACTCGGCTCCAAAGCTCTGCAGAACTCCGTTAAGAAAGACCCTCTCAGGCCCAGAGAGCCTCAGGGGGCCTCAAAATGCTTCAAAGAGTCTCAGAGAGTCTCAGAGAGACTCTCAGAGACTCTGAAACCTCGGCTCCTGGCCACCGCATCTTTGCAGACGACTCGGACACACAGCGTTTACTCACCGGTCCTCGGCTGAGACCCCGGACTGTCCGACGACTTCCTCAGCCTTATGTCATAAGCCACATGCAGCAGTCTATTCGACAAGCAACCTGCAGCGATGAGTGTGAAAGAACTCGAACCTTCCTACAGGTCCTACACTCACATCTATAGAGACAGCGGGTAGGCTGGGCACGTCTTCCTCATGGGCGGCCCGAGCTTCGTCTGCAGCAACCTGCAAACGAGAAACAAGGGTTCTGAAAGGTCAAAGAGGCATGCGATGCGAGGAGAGATCAAAACGCCCACTGATACTCTCATTGACAGCATCTTGAAGCCTGCTGGGCGATCGGAGCACGCAGGCTCGCACTTTCCGGGCCACCAGAGACCAGTGAATGTTCCGGCTAGCTTCAAACAAACAAACTCTTCTGCTCTGCCTGCTCCTGTAGCTCCAAGGCTTCCACGGCTTCCTGAGCAGGCTTCCGGCTTGCAAGGCCTTGCGTCGATACGGAGCCCGGATCCGCCTTGATGCAGCGCACCAGGTCACCACCGAGGGCCTCACGTCTTCTCTTCTCTCACAAATCTCACAAGCGAGACTTAGGAGCCTTAGAGGAGCCTCTCAGACCAAGGACCGCGCGCGCCCGTCGGCATGGGCCTTGCTTTCGATGAAGCAGCGGACCTTAAAAGCCACGACCGCAGACCCGCCGACCCGACGGAAGAAAGTGAAAGAGACGGACCATGGCATGGGTGAAGGGCAGTGGCTTGTCCTGGAAAGGCGTGCAGAAAGTCATGCTGAACTGATGCAGCGACAGGCTGAATTGAATCACAGCAAACAGGCACGGTCCCAAGCTATCTCCACCCACTGCTCCACGGTGACGATTTTTGCGTCTGGTTCCTGAGTACGGGTGCGCGGCTATGAAAAAGCTGCCTGTTCTAGTTGGGAGTTGGGAGTATGGCCACGAGAGCATAGTAAGTTCGCAAACACCGTGAAAACGTGAAGAGGAGGCACAGTCAAGTGCGACGAGGATCATGAATTCAGGAAACCCAGCCCTCGCGGCGTTCTAGAGCATTAGTGTGCCTGCTGCAAATAATGCCTTTCACCTGCGTACTTGACAGGCCTGTGTGAAGCGGACGGTGCACTGCACCTGTGGGCCGGTCAAGACGAACCAGTCAAGCTCTGAGGCTAACCGCAAATGCACTCGAGCGAAGCAAACTTGTGTTCGCGCCTTAAACCGATCGCCATACAGAACGTCTCCCGTATAGCTATGCTGCACGAACCACATTTCCTGACGATTGCATACATCAAGAGCGACTCATATTGACATAACCCCAACAGCACTTGGTGCATTTGGCACAGTACTGCAAAACACCGATGACACCGAAGGCTGCCAGACTGGGGCAGGACGGCGAGCCGCAGGGCTTGCACAGCGCGGCATGTAAACTCTTGCCGGTCCTCCGGGGTGTAGAACAGCCGCCACACTGAGCAGGTGCCTGAGTCCAAAAACGCGCGTAAACCAGGCTGCTACGGTAAGGCCGCATGTCTCGATTGACAACTGAAGCTAAGGTCCAGTCTGATCTGGGAGGGAATGTTCAACAGACGCCTGCGATGGCTTTATGTTGAAGAACGATCTGCAAAACATCAACTGCTCTGAGCAACTTGAGAAAGTCACCGAAGTGCTCGACAAACATGAAGCGGACAAGGAATGCCGTTTAGAAGTACAGAAGCTGGATATTTCTATCACATCGACGCAATGTCTAGAGGCTCTGGGTGAACCCCACTCTTTGGCCTGGCAAAGTTCGGGATGTCGTCAGGAATGGGGGCCATGTAGCAGCACTTCCGGATCTGCCACGCACGGCGGGAATGGATGATGTGGCCGAAGAACATACTCACATGATCTTGCATTACTTTATAACCGCACTTCGACCCGAAGCCGATTTGTGCGCTGGAACGACCGATTCGTGAAAAGAGCCGGTTCACAGAAAGTGCCGGATTGACACGATTTCAGCGCTCACCGCCGATTTCGTGTGCAGACAGGATTCGCGCATCGGTGATTTGCACACGGATTCAATTTTTGCGCATTCACGTTCGCGAAAGGTTTTCGCCTTTTGTGTGCTCCCAGTCGCCAAACTCAAGCCCATCACAGCGGCAGGGAGTAGCTTAAACCGAACCCTAAACCCTAAACCAACTATAAGCAAAGTTGTGCTAACCCCAATACCCCAAAAGGAGAGCGTGCTGCAGAATCCCTAAATCTGAAAGGGAATGTCTCATTGCACCCAGCCTAAACCCCAAAGCCTAAACCTTGAAAGACTAAACCCTAGAAACCTGAAGCCCTCAAATCGCCCTAAAACCTATAAACGGTGAGCACTCGACTCTTTAAATTTTGCCTGGCGATGCCTCAAACCTGCAACTCCGAGTGCCTGAATTTGCTGGTGCTCGTGGTGGGCTGCCAGTTCCTGTATTGTTCCCTTACGATGACCCTAAATCTTCACCTCCTTCAAGTGCATGGACCTCTTGCTGTCTTGAGAAGGTTACTGCGGTTACTGGTAGAATTTACCCATTGTTGTCGAATGGCTGGCCATCTAAAGGCTTGCTCAAGGGATCCGTGGGTTTTTGACATACCGCAACAGGACATCCTTATTCATCATTCCACTGCCCGTTCTGGCCTTCGCGGCCGCGACATCCCGACAATCCTCCCATAGCGAGGTGTGGAAGTCATGGCATCCTCCCACCTGAAAACAATCAGCGCTCCGCCCTTTCCAATGTATGGACGTTCAAGTGCAAGAACCAGCACAGGAGCTGTGATGCCCAAACCAAGTCAAGTGAGCTATCCTACTTTGCTTCCCAGATCTTACCAGCAACCTTCGTGTAGCATTGGTTTGGCCAACGCTCGTGCCAAGACACACTGGACTGGATAACCCAAACATTGAGATTGAAGTCCTACGCCAAGCCTTCAGACCCACCCGATGCCCCGGGGTGTCAGAATTCTGGAAGAGGCCTGGCTCAGGAATTGCAGAAGAGGGCAATGGCTCGGCCTCCGCAGGCTGGCAGGCCAACTCGCTTCAACTTCCTCGACATACGACGCCCCGGCCTCTGCATTGTTTCCCAGATTTTGCTGACAGTGGCCTGCCACCATTCCAGCACGAGAAAGGGCATGGGAGGGGATTGCCATGGATTGTCATGGGCGCATGTAATGAAAACGGCAGATGACGTTGCCAAAACCGTTTCGCAAGATCAGAGACAAGGACAGGACGGCTGATCGAGATAGTGGAGAGAGCAGTCGGACAATTACTGAGTTACAAGTCACAAGTTAAGGCCATCAGCTGCGGCCACTGTGCTTCCAGCTGTGCCCAGCTTTCAGATTTCAATTACTTCTGGGCTGGCCACTTCGCAGTGGGTGCTGTTTTTTTCCCAGAACCGAAAGACTCCTGGTCTCCCCTTTCTTATGACACAAACTGTGAGAGCAAGCGCTTGGCCTGCGGAATTCTGTGGGTCAGCAGCGGCGGGTCTGAGGGAAGTCCAAGCTCTGAAGGGATGTGCCTGCCCAAAGTGTCAATTTGGACAATGTGCTTGAAACTTGAAACTGGGCATTGCATGCACTTGCTTTCGCTCGCTGCATTCACATGCTCTGACTCTAGGCGCAGTAAGCTTCGAAGTGCAGGAGGTGAGGCACAGAAGATCACTTCCCAGCCTACTCGCTGCATGCAAGGAAGAGGATCTCCGAATCAGGTTCTTGAACCTCGGTCCAGTTTTCACGCAAATATCCTCTCTGCGGGGCAGGTAGCATCTGCGGTCGCGAAGATGCTGCATGATCTCAGGCGTCTGAAGGCAAGACTGGGTGGTCAGTTTTGCAGTGACCCGCTTCCCCATCTTCCTGGCACCAAGTTGCGGAGTTGCACGACCACCAAAATCTGGAGAACCAGGACGACCCAGCTTACATTCACAGAGCCAGACGGGCATTAGCTGCCCCGACTTTAAGCAGGCCAGGCCGTCTTGAAGAGCTCACCTTGATTTGGTTCAAGCTTCTTGCTCATGCAGCAAGACCAGAATTCTCGAGTGTGAGGAGCAACGTATCGACAGGAGCAGCGAGTCGATCCCTACACACTCAACATGCAAAGCGGTATGGCTGAGGGTCCTTTTTGGGGGGATGATGATCCAAGCCCCAACTCCTTCTCTCAGCGGTTCTGGGACGGATGTTGCCAGACCACATTAGGCAAAGCAAGTTTCTTCCGGTTTGGAACACATTATAACAAATTCAACCTGACTACAGGGAACGGAATTGGAAAGTTCCTGAGACCAAGCAAAAAGGGTTGCTCGTCATCGAAGCTGGAAACATGCAACACAAGCTCTGCCTTCCGGGCCTAACCCTGGTTGCATGTTTCCGATTGCAAGAACATGCTGATCTAAATCTTTGCCCTGCATCACTCGCGAGACCCACGAGACCACTAGCCAGCAGCTGACAGCCGCTGAAACAACAAGGCTTAGCTTCAGTATCTGCCGAGACACGCTTCCGACACACAGGGGATGATTCCTGCAGACGCCACAGCATCGCGGGCTCGACAGCTTTCCGTCCCACGTAACACGGTTGCGATTTGCTCTTGCGGAGGTACTTCACTTCCCAGCTTCTCAAAAACCACTAGTCCCAAGCGTGGGTCTATCGGCACCAAGAAACCGATCGTACAGGCATGCAGCATTCAACTCAAAGGGCTACAGAGCTGCGACTGAGCGGCCCCGGATGTGGCCGACTGATCATGGTGCGTGGGGCTGCCAGGAGAACTTCCTGGATACCGAAGCTCAGCCCACGACACTTCTTCAGTGCAGTTGGTGCGCTCTAATAATGCAGCCCAGCATCTGCTCGGCAAGTGCTGTAGCTGCAGAGCAGGCCTAGGCTGCACAACTGCATTTCACAAACCCGAGTTTTGCATCCAATTCAAGCAACGTACAAAAAGAGAGCTGATTCTGAGTCCCCTTGTTCTGAGCTGCGTAAACTTCTAATTTGACATATCAAATCCTGATCCTGCTGACGGTTGGCATTCATGGCGGTCTGCGGGCTACGCCTCCGTGTCCATGAACTCTAGAACACAATGTGATGTTCATGTTCTGCGTGACACCATTGTTACGAAGCGCGCTTCGGCCCCTTTGTCCAGGCTGCTCACGGCCGTTTTTTCGTGTAAACGGGTTAGCAGAAATGCAGCATTCCAAAATGCTACTTCTCAGCAAAGCTGCACTACCCTAAATATCCAAGCAGCATCCAAAGATCTAAAGATCATTCCACTCCACTTGCAGCTGTGGCTAGCATGCTTGCGCAGACTATCAATGCTCCTTCATACCGACTGATTGGAGATGCTCAACAGTTGAAGCAAAAGCAAATTTGGAAAAAAAGTAGCTGGGGACAACCTTTGTGTTAAGATCGCAGACCACGAGCTGCGTCGGGAACCTTTTTGGCGAAGGAACTAATCCCCTTAGAGCTGTGTCACCCACCGTACCCGTATGTACCCGTTCTGGCGACTCCGAGGTCTTCGAGGACTGAGCTTTTTTCTGGGCTGACTGCTTTGGACATTACAACGATACTCGGCAGACGATTCCCAAGCCTGCAGCTTCCATGCATTTGAGGCCATTGCCGATGGCTCTGCGCTGCGTCGAGGCTTTGCAGCTTGCCTGAGCTTGGGCCCCGGCACGATCTCCGGCAGAACCGGCGCGGGACCTTGTTCATGTCTCACGGACTCCCAACACATCCAAACGTAACAAACACACACTTGCACAGAGAGAGAGAGAGAGAGAGAGAGAGAGAACACCACACCACACCCAGACCAGTCCGAAGTGTCCAGCTACTCACTCCTTGACCTGAACAGCAGGCACGGCTGCCGTGGGCAGCCTGCTGTTGATTCCCATTCTTTCGGGGCATCTGCAAACCCCCTCCGTCCCAAGTCTCCAGCCGGCGTTTGCATGGAAAGCTTCTTGAAGCAACCACTCCGAGGCCATGGAGCACGAAGCAGGAAGTTCTCAAACTCAAAATTGTGCGTCTCCTGCCCCTTTCTGATTCTCTGGTCTGGTTGGGGTTCATGCCTGCAACACCTCTTGCAACGACAAAGGACTGTTGTTCTCAGCGCCCGGCGAATAGGCTGCTCGACCGGCGACGGAGACGAAGTATACGGAAAGTACTCCGAGACCATGGGTGTCATGTCCTGGGCTGGAGATCGGGAAGGAGACAGTGTGGGGACCGCCACGCTTACCAGCAACCGTGCCGTCTCACAGGCCGGTGATATCTGTCTCCGCATATGGAAGTCACTGGAATGACAAAGCTTGTCCTGTGGATCATATGGAGGTAGTCTTGGTGTGTCAAAAGGATTTCAGGACTGCCGTCACAGAGCATAAACTGCCTTCTCGGGATCTGTGAGCATCGTTGTGCTGCGCTGGCATTCCGGCGTGGGCTCAGACGGGACGGTGCTGCAGTCCGACAAGGTCTCAGGGTCAAGCTCGGGGCCAACAGAACGGAATGTAGCTGTAGCTTCCTGGTGGCTCCCGGTCCGGCCTGCTTCCACTGACCGGTGAGGAATTCCTGCCGGGCATACGGCATGATGCCCCAACTTTTTCTCTGGGACAGCCGATCTGGTGTCCGGAAAGCAACTAGCATCATCTTTCGGAGAAAGGATCACCTCATCCTGACAAGTCAAGCAAATTTGGATTGCCGAGCTGACTCTCTGCACGGCCTTGGGTACACTTGCGCTGCTGGGCGTTCGAGGCAGCTGCACCTCTAGCAACCCAAGGCAATGCATAGCATGGCAGGTCAGTAATCTGGAGTTTCCTTGGACCTCGTCATCCACAGATTTCGCGGTGAAGCAGCCAAGACAAAGGGGCCTGGTTGACAGTCGCATCGCTTGGGACAGCACAGGCATGACAACCATGAGACAGGTCTACTCTGAGTTCGTTGCTTCAGCTGCATGGCGCTCCACAGTCACCGAACAGAAAAGCAGGAACCGTGGAGCTGGGGCGATAGTGAAGCCACTTAAAGGCAGTGCTCGATTTCGTGTGGTTTTTCAATGCCACCATGATAAAAGGAGGTACATTCAACGTGTTCCAAGTCAATGCTGCTTGAGCTGCATGTCGGCAATATGACAGAACTGCATCGTGCATCGGATCCGGCAGTACTTGGAAGCTTTCCGAGGCTGGATCCAGTTTCGACGTTGCTCCACTCTCCCCGGTCGTTCATGTTCGTCATCGTGACCTGTGAGCCCCGAGGTCCAAGTCCTGGCTGCCTAGCTGCTTCCACCGAGTGGAGCCTCGGACACCGGAAAGTTCATGACATCCTTGGCTTCCGCTCTAAGTGCTCTGTACCGGGATCGCCATGCAGACACACTTATTTCAAGCAGGCATCTGCCGCAACGGCCGAATCAGCCAAGAAAGTTCGCATGAGGGTGTTGATGTCGTTCTTGGGCAAGCGCTTCGTCGTCACCATGATCTTCAGGGAATTTCAGGGACAATCAGGGCCAGCGAGCAGCGCCCTGCAGATCTCCGCCTGCAACCCTTCCTACGGTATCCGTCCCGGCCTGAAAGGTTGCCAACTTGTCAGTGCTCAGTCGGCGCCCAGCAGATGCATGGAAAGTCATCGAGACCCTCGTGATCTCCTGGAGATTGCTGATCAGTGCTGGACGTGCGATACTGCTGTCTTCGGCAACCAGCAGGGAACACAAGTTCAAGTACGGCGATGATGCGGATTCCAAGGTGAGCGCCTGAAAGGGAACGTCCAGCAGATCTGCCAGCGCAAGCCTCTCTTCATACGAGCTGGGATGCAACACGCGGCCGAAAAATACTTGCCTGGCGTCGTGGAGGGTCACATTCTTCCACTGGCTCCAGCAAGCCTGCAATGCCATGCAAGTTTGCAAGGGCGGGGGCGTCCCTTCGGCCGGCGTCCCTGCGCTCCTCGTTGCAGGTGCCCATGAGCTGCCAGATGCCCACGACGCTGGATTCCGAAAAGCGTTCGGGTCGCACACCTCAGCCGGTGCAACAGAGCACATGCAGTCTCTGACAGTGAGATATACTGAGATGACCTGTGATGATACACAGCTATCTCCAGCTTCCCGGAGTCTGACAACCCGATGAGCACGGATGAGTAGTTACGGTTCTTGACTTTTGTTTGTTGGATAGCCTTCTCATGCTTCTCTCCACCTCGCTTCCCAGCCCTGCCAGCATCTCCCGGCCTCACCTTGAACGTCTCTGCCGAGGAACACTGGCCGTGGGCCACCTCCGCACCACCACCGCAGCTCGTCGTACCTGCCACGCAGCGGTCACACGGCGATTCCAAGAAGACTCTGCGACTACGACTTGCGACCAAGGAACAATCTGCGGTGAAGTGGTCGTAAAGCTGATCGTTTTCGAAGCACTGATAAATCGGCGAAAACTCCAATGCATCCTGAGCTTCACTGACTTACAACCGAACCGAAAAACTGTCAGCTTGGTGAAGGATCTTCTGTTTCCAAGAGGCCAAGTTCATCCTGTCCATCGTGTCCTCGACAAGCTGCTGGATCTGGCCCGGTGCCAAGGTGGTCGTTGTTCCCTCCTGGAACACAAAAGTACCTAGACCTTGTGAGTGTTTCGGGAATGCACCGCACCCTTCTCCACACCAGGATGCCAGCAATGCCCGTATCACCTCGGGAACAAAAGGCTCTATGGTCGCGGCAAGGAGGTCATGCTGTGCTGACACTCATGAACGATAGGTCTGAAGATGAGAATGGTTCGGTCGTTAGGCCTGCACGACCGGAACCAGCCCACAACCCAAAGGGTCCAAAGTGAAGATTGCAATGCAGGCAATCGGAGTGGCTCATCTGACATCTTCTACCAAGCTCAGTAAGGGTTGGGAGTGACGACGATGAAAGAGGAGGATGCCCTGCTGCCACACAGAGCAGTTTCTCGCCCGGGGCCGAGACTCACGTTGCCGGTTCCCGGCCGCTCGGCCCAAGTGTAGTTCTTCACGCTGACGATCTGAAGCGAGGACCCGGCCTGCAGACGCTCGCTTCACGGCCCTGTTCGGGTGTAGGCTGATCCTTAAGGCCTTATCTCGCTTCCCGTGGCCTCACCGGCAACAAGCTCGGCTCCATTTCTCACGAAGATGATCGCATCTTGCGTTTTGTGCGCAAAGGTGTCCTTGAGTACATACACTGGGGAGCAACGATAAGCCCAGCTCACCTGACCAAAATGACTGCACTTCTCCCTGGCAGCTAAGGCCCAGGCATTGCTGCACAGGCGGAGGTGGATGTGAGGCACGGAGATCCAATGTGTCACAAAGTAGGTGGCGGGATTCCTGAACTGACGGCGCTCAACTCTGTTGACAGAGCAGGACGGCACAAAGGTTGCTTCTATTGAGCTTGGGCTCTGCACACGTATGGTCACTCTGCCAGTCTCGCTTACCTCCAACGCGAGACATATTGAGACAGGACAGTAAACAGGAGAGGCAATGCCCAAGGCCCGACCACCAAGTTGCCGCCGTTGAAGTTCGGGTCTGTGAAATCTGGGTACGCCTCGTTCATGTCCCTGTACACCGCGCAACCTGCATCCGATGTGCCAGACAGCACGGCCAGCCATTCACTACATCAGCACAAGGTCCATGCACTGGAGGCAAGATCAGATCGCGAGGCTAAGACGCTGCCTTCGAGGCTGTCATGGGGATTCCAGGCCGTCTGGGACTTCTGAGGAGCCTAGAAAAGCATCTCCACTCCCCCCCAGGCATCTTGAACCTGTGCTGCTCATGCCTGACGACTGTGAAGAAACTCTAAGGCAAGCGCCCACCATGCCAAATGCACAGGATGATCAGGTCTCGATGGGGTCAAGTTTCCAAGAACAATCTCCATATCATACCTCGCCGGCGTGTGTTGTCTCACGTGCCACGTCTCACCCCCGTCTCAAAATCGCCAACTGAATGTGAGAAAATCCCTGCACCAAGCAGCTGTTCAGGACCTTGCGAGATACGGTCACCTGAACAGGTCAATGCACTGCTGCAGCCTGTCCACACCCTCGCAGACTCAGGGCTTCGTGACCCAGTGCTGCCAGCTCGCTGCACTTGTACTCAGAGTTCAGCTCGCATCCGCTGACCTACCCAGGCAGCCGTGTGAGCTCAAAGCCACTCTGCGATCAAAACCACCAGCCTTGGCATCCCAGCGATCGCATCGACCCCAGATGTGCTTCTCCTCAACCCCACGAGCAGTGCTTTGCATTCGGAACCACCGTCTTGGCCAGCATGCGAGTTTCACCATAAAAGTGGCCAATCTTTCTGATCAAGCATCTCGCGCCGCGATGTCCCAGAGTCGTCGGCTGCCACGCATGCGCTCTCCATTGGAACCTAAAGCCCCATTGAATTGTTTCTCTGTCGCATACGATCAGACCAAGGCCTTGGGGCGAATGGGCCACGGCCTCTGAAAAGAGGCAGACGGTCAGCACCTTGGTGATCCCATCTCAGAGCTGACATAAGACATGAGGCTCTCTTCAGCTAAGAGTGGCACTGCAAGTCTTGCCATGTCTGCTTGGGATTTTGTTGGGCTCTGCTATGTACAAGGTTGACTCTCAACCAGACCTTTGTGAGTCCTGTGCTGCTGCTCTTAGAGTGCCGCTGCTCTGGGCCTGCGTCTGCGGATGCGACACAAGCTGAGCAGCTCTCAATGCCGAATCAATCCAAAACAAGCAGCCAAACAGAGAAATTAAATGAGGCCACTTCGCACCCTTAGGTGGACGTCGGCGCCGCAAGCTCTGTTGAGCCGACCTTATCAGCAACGACACTGCACAGCTGGCAACACCGCGTCGCGGTGTGTCACGCGACTCCTGCCGTGGCTCCCTTTACCGGGATCTGCAGAGATGCGCCTCCCAGTCGAAGCCGCTCCAGCTGGTTCTCCAGTCCTCACAGCAGTTTCACAAATCTACCTAAAGCTGGTCCGTGCAGATGCTTTTGTTTGACTGCTTTGTCCAGAGCTGTGCAGGAGGTGCACTATACTACAAGTACAACATTCCTGGCGGAACAAGCTTGAGAAGATCATGCCACTTTCCGGCATAGCTCATTCTCAGTGAGGGCCCGTGTTTCAGACCTTCCCCGATGGCCACCATTCGCCCTGCCACGGGATGTGTGTAAGTTGTTTGTCGAAGCATGGCGACCAAGCGGAAATTCCTCCAAACATCGTGAAGCTCAGACACGTCCGGGTTGTAGATTTGAAGAACTTCATAAACGGCCAAGAGCGGAGTCCACCACTCCCCAGAAGGGAGGGAGAGCATGGCATAACGGCAGTTCTCTTTCCATTGCTGTGCTGTGGCAAGAACCTGCCCCTCCAAAGGCCTCCGGAATAGAGATGGGAAGGCCTTCTTCAACGCCATGTGCACCCATGACCCAAACAACTGCATGGACTGCTCGAAAGCAATGTCATTTACATCCTTCTCGCCTTGCAACGTTCTCGCTTCCAGGGCCCAGTTTCTGCAGCTCCTTGTCGAATCGATCCAACTCTTGTTGTGTAGACAGGACTCTCCAAAACTCATAAACGGCATATCGGGGAAGTCATTTGCTAGCTCCAGGTCCTCAAGGCCTGCAGCTTCACCTTCCTCCGCATTCCACGCATCCACTGCCTGTCCGGTCATGTCCATCTTGACGCTGATGCTTATGCCGGGTCCCCAACCATTGGGATGGGAGTCCAAAAAGTCTGCGGCCATGAAGTTGGATACATTGATGTTCGTGTTCAACTCTTCTTCCACGGCCAACTTCAGGAGATTCTGACGACTCTTCTCGAAATCATCAGACAAGCCAAGTTCCCGCAGGCCATCGAAAGCACCATTCACGAAGTCCGTCAAACCTCCAGGCGCTTCGAGAAGTTTTCACAGTCTAGAATTACTGAAGCAAAACCTCACTAGCCGCTCACTAGCCTGCATGTGACGTTTCAATAGCGAGGCTTCTCGAAGCCACGAAGAGCGACATTTCTGGATCCTCTGGATTGCCGGCACCATAGAATGCCACGTTCATCACCAAGTCAGCGAGCATACCATGATCCTTGCTCCCCATCAACCCGAGAAGCTCAGACGGGATCGCCTCGTTTGCCAGGTTCACCACAAATCGGAAGATCAACGCGGCAAGGATCTGCTGGAAAGCCTCGACTTGTGAAAGACTCTCCTTCTCCCGACTCCAGTGCGATCTGCTATGGACTTTGGGCCTTGATGTTGACGGCGCCCACCCTGCTGAAGAGGTTTGTCAGGCGGGCCACCGTTCCACTCCAGTAAGTCCCATTCCCACGCACCTGGCAAACAGGACTGCCACTTGCAATCTGATTCCTAGACTTAGAGGTTCCATGCCGGATCTTTCAACATCTGTCCACCTTGAGATCTTCGAGCTGGATGTTCACGTCTCGATCCTCTTTTGGAAATTTCAGGACGTTCCGGCCGTTCTCCTTCAGAACCTTCGCCGATAGCGACAGCAGTGGCAGACGCGGGTCTTTGGCTTTTGCCTTGAAGGAAACGTTTCTGAAGGCCGTCGTCGGAATGCCGGGCATGGACATGACGACTCCTTGGAGGTCACCAGTCAGCAGTGTCTTGGATGTCACCGCAAGCTCGATCTCCTCAAAGCCCACCGACTTCCTCTTGGAAATACGCACTCAATCCGAGTCTGCTACGAAACACGCGTGAGCCAAGCCAAGCTGGCCTGATTTCCAGGTTCATGCTCCAGCTCATGTTCTCGATGCCCTGGATGGCCAGGAGAGCCTCGCCTGACAGCGCAGACCACCTCAGCCGTCGAAGCACAGGTCCGTCACAGGTTATCACAGCTTGCTAGCTGCGCCCTGTCGACTGAGGCCAGCGACACTTTGGACAGGTCTAGGTTGATCTTCAGCACAGCAGGGTCTGGCGCAAATTCCTTCACCTCCTGCAGCGGGCAAGAAGTGATGCTCAAGCTTACGGCTTACGCTCGAAAAATGACCTAAAGCAGGTCCTGGCATCTCTCTGACTGGTGCCATCGTATTGTCGGCTCCTTCACCTGAACATCCTCCTCTTTAAATCTCACCGTAGACGCAAGGCTGGCGCAGCAGAACAGTATGAGCGGAAGGATGGATTGCGCAGACCAAAGCATTCTGAGATCCAGCTTCGAGCAGGTAACGGCCGAGATCATCATGGACCAATGCAACTTACTTACCACGAGCAGAAATGATCTTCCAGTCTGCCACCCCCTCAAGAAATAATATCAGGGTGTCGGCTCCTGTTCACGAATTTTGGAGCCAGGCTGGGAGGCCTCATGCACCGAAACGAGAGCGATTGTCGCAAACTTCCTCAAGCTGCAAAAGCTTTTCCATGTGCGTCCAAAAGGCACTCTGTATGTCGATCGGTGGCGTTGCACCTGGCCGTGCGCACAGTGGCCCTGATTCGAGCCCGAATGCAGCACAACGCGAGTCTCCAGGAGTCCGGCCAATTCTCACGATTCGGACCTGGTGCCGTGGTGCCATACTTGATCAGATCAGCTGCGCAGTGCTCGCCGTAAAACCACTGCACAATACTTCGGGCAAAAACCGAAGAATCATGAGTCACAAGAAGATCAGGATACCACCTTGAACATTGTCCTGCATTGTGGCAGTCGTCTCTTTAGACATGTTGCCCGTGGTGTTGACCTTGACATTGGTGCCTCCTTCCCCTGCGCTCTAGCACACTTGGGAAAAGTCAAACCCAGTTAGACCGATAGTTGCTGATCCTGGAACATTTTAAGCTCGGCTGCCCGCACCACATTGAAACCACTGCAAAACGCCTTGAAAACACCACACTTGCCTTGAAAAATGCGATGATGGCAACATGCTACTTCTCATTCGTTGTCCAGCTCCGCATCGCACGCATCTCGTCTGTGAACGAAGCTCAGATCAACGACGGTTAGAATTTTCGAAGGATCCTGGAGCTTCTCCGAAAGAAAAGGGGTGTGAAAGCTCTTGGGGCCACTTTTCGGTGAGCTGGCGGCCGTTCGTCCCAGAGATGCATCGATGGAATCTCTCCGCCATGCCGCGGCTTGAGAGCACTTCTTTTCGGGCAGGCTGCGGGATGCCGCAAGACGGTTACTCTTTGTTCCTCCATGTTACTCCTGCATGTTAACAACGGGTCCGTCTTTGGCACCGGGACCGTGTTCCGAAATCCGATCATTGCTTCTTTACCAGAGCCAGGCTACGCAGTAGGCGCCCTCATCGCGGAAGGCGAGGCATGGCGTCAGGCGACGGCCCTGTGTCTCCAGTGATGAAGGGCTGCTTTTGCAAGCTGCTGCAATCCCAACAAGGTCTGCTGGGTTTCCGCCTCTGCCCAGTCCAAGTCAGAGACAAAGCCCGTGGTCTCCCACGGCCCCATCTCTGTTCGGTCTGCAGGGCGCTTTGCAGGTTTGCGGCTCTCTGCTTCAGCGACGGCCGGAGCCTGGCTCGGGTCGACCGCGGAGAGGCGGGAAGAACCTCCGGGCACAGCAGAACTGCACTGAGGCTACGGCTACGAGAGCGGACAGAGGCTCCGGCCTGCCACCTGCCAGCCCCTGCAAGGTGCAAAGAGCATGTGCATATCCCAACATCTTCGAGTTGAGCTGCGTCATTGTGGCGTGTTAGGTCCAGGGCTGGCGGTGTGTTTGAATCGCTCTGAGCGCCACCTGTGGAAGAAGCCACCACTGAAATCAGTCTTCTCTGACTGCCGAGTTTAAGACTTGAAGATGCTCCGCCTTCAACCGGCGCCGCCGGCACCTCGCACCTGAGCGCGATGGCAAGACAAGACTAGGATAGACTGGGTATACGGAGTATCTGCACTTGCTCTTGTGATCTCTTGTGCCTCCTGAAGAACGCCAGTCTGTCCTTGCACAGGTAGAGACCTTCACGAGACGTCAAGATCAGGCCATCCTTGCAGCCCTGTCTATGCGGACAAGCCGCCCATCAGCCCATGAAAAGGGCGGCCCGTTGTCACCTATGCTTTCATGCGTCTGGCACCCGGAAGCTTGCTAGGAGAAAGATTGAGGAAAAGCGACTTGCATCCATGATCCCGGCCGTTGGCAAGGGCTGGATGTACGCGCCCTCAACCTGCGATCAAGGCAGCTGTTGCTGCTAAAAGCCTGCCGTAAACACAGTCACTTCCGCTGTTTGCTTGAGTCTTCACTACATCATACCACAAGTTCTCTGCGTTGCTCCCGCATTGTGGCCTTCCGTGGGGCTTCACGCACCTTCCGCTCCCGAATCACTGCCCCAGTGTCCGGGCCTAGGCAAACTGAGACATCTCAGAGATTGTTCCCGCTGCTGTGTTCTCTGGGCATTTAAAGTTGATCTTGGATCAGTGCTGAAAGTCACGCTGCTGCAGCCGCCTGCCTGCAAGGTCCAGACGAAGTACGATTACAAGCAGGGCTATGTTGAATTTAAGCTTAAGGCTTAAGAGTGAAACCTATGCCCAACCTCGAAATCCACAACCGCCATGCTGAGGTTGTCGGGGTTTGTTGCAACCTCTACCTGCATTGCGACAGGGCTTCGCTGCTTCCAATGAGAGCTGCTTGGGCCTCGAGGTAGACTCCCTGCGTGCTGGCACGCACCACATCCGTGCAAAGGCGACACCTTAGGTACGCCACCTGCGGGCAAATGCAGATGTTCTTTCTTGGCGGGGCAGGGCTACCGGCTGCCGGCAGGAGTCAACGAAGTTCTTGCTGGGCCATTTCTAGAGCAGATACAACAAGCGGAGCAGATTCTTCATGTTGAATACCCTCGCCCGTATATGTAAGTGTCTTGCAGGCTCTTGGATGGCCCGGTCTGGTGCCGCGAGTGTGCTGCTGCACGGGAAGAGCCGGAGTTGCTTGAGTGGGGCTCGCTCGAAGCCCGCCTTACCCGTCCGGCAGGGTGCTCGGAGTGTCCTCATGCTGATTGGAGGTCTTTGGCTTGGCTGACACGTGGATGGGCTGGAGTCAAATGTCGGCCGCAACTGTGCCAGGTTGTGCAAGCCGAAAAACTGCCGGAATATGTGGATCGACATGGCTACTGAGTTACTGGCGAGCGCGAGAAGTGGCAACTGCATCCTTCCAACACTAAACATCTGGGGACCCCTGGCGCCTCGTCCGGGTGTGCCACGCAGGTGATCTCACGACCACCGAATGGCGTGCAAAAAGTGGGTATCTGGGTACATAGAAAATACTGATGTGGACTCCATCTGCTTGCAGCACACGCAGGTACGAGAATCACATCGACTTGGAGTCCGGCGTTGTGCTTAAAGTGCTGGAACCGCCCTTTCCAATCCACCCGCGTCAACTTCCTGGCCAGCAGCGCTGGCCGTCGGCGTATGCTTTCATGACAAGCAAGCGGCGACTACGGCAGTAGTGACACGCCTGGGCCAAAGACATGGATGTGGGTGCACTCTTCTTTTGACTCCAACTGATCTGAAGCGCAATCTTATGCCACGGCAATGCCTAGAGTTGCTCTGGATGTCGGCAGACTCCTGCGCTGTTCTGTCTGACCAAGCTTGGCCACTCAACGCTCTGCCAGTCATGTCCTGCTTTAAGCAGACAAACTCTCCTAGGCTTAGGCTCAAAACCTGGAACAACACAACACGAGCAGCAGAATTGCAAGAGTGCAACTTGCGGACGGCTGTCGTTCTCGCAGATGCTCACAGCTGCAGATACCTCTGCAGGAACAGAGGCCCGGGCTGGCTGTTCGAAGGTGCCGTCTCGCTCCAGCTCCATACCACGGTAGGCCTCTGGGCTCCGGATGGCACCGCGATCCCGGCATCCGTGTGGCATGACATTAGTAATCCCTCTGTGGCATAACGTGCATGGGATGCATCCACGGACAAGCATAGTGCCCCGCAGAGGCACCCAATTCGCGCCACGGGCCCATGGTAGCTCGGCTGAGTTGCCGAAGCCTTGTTGTCAAAAATTGCTAAAATTGCACGCTTTGAGTGCAAAGCCAAGCTTTTCTCCGATATGTCCTTATTACCGCCGACATTTAGAGGCCGAGACGGGCAGGCCCCCGCTTGCGACCTGTGCTTGTCGGCCTGTTCTTCCGAAACGACTCCGAAACGTGGTATTACCACCAGGCGATGTAGCACAGGCCAACACGAGGTGGCCCTCTATGCAACGTGCGACGATGGCAAAGGCCATCGCGCAAAGTACTTTGACAAATCAGGCTTTGCCTGTGAACTTGCGGATCGATAACAAACCCGCCTGCCCGCTCAGCAATCGATCGTCAATGCAGATCGTTGGACAGCAAGCTTGGCAGCTCTGAAAACGGGCTGCCTAGCACTAGGATGGCACCTTTCCTGACGCGTCGCAGCTTTGGAGGCAACGTGGCTGTACAAAGAGAGAACCAACTTCAGGTCGCCTCAACGCCGGAGTGCACTTCGTCAGACCTGATCATAACACCGGCCAATCTGATGCAAAAGTCCATCTAGCTACCCTGGTTTACGATCATCTCTGCAATGCAAGAACCAGCTGCTTCAAAACCGTGACAACTGGCTCTTTCAGTTTGTGGAACTAAACTGATGCAGTGACGCAAGTCTTGCGAGTAGAGCATCCCCACATACCGCAATGCTGACATTGAAACGACCGCCTGGACCTGTCTGGCCGGCGTCAGCATGTCGTTGCTCGCTGCGCCCTGCTTGTCTTTGCGGAAGCATACAAAACTGTCACACATAAACAAGGATTCAACCTGCGTGCCTGGCATGTGGAGGCGAGAGCGGCTGTGAGAAGCGGTCGTCCACCGGCTGTGACACCGACCTCGGCGGTATCCTCAGCCTCGGTCTTCGAGATGCACAGGGGTCTAAGGCGCACTCAGCTTCAGAGTTTAATGAGCTTACGACGCAGGGAACCCGGTTGAAGTAGGGTTGTGGGTCGTAAGTCCAAGAACCTATGGGAATCTAGAAAGGATTCGCACTCTCTTGGCCGGAAGCATAGGTAGTGGAGAGAGTGGGCGGGAGGCTAAGGACGTTACCCACGAGGGTGCCCGACAACCGCCCGCAAAGCACTCCCATTACGCCCCCGAACCGAATGTGAGGAAGGAGGAGTCTGGGAGAGGAGTGAAAGTGGCAAATCCATGCTAGACAGCGCATGCAGCTTGGACCCAAATTGCGCGTGCAGCATCCGAAATGATGGACGCAGGATCGGCCCTTCCGGCAAGCGACGTCTGGCCGAGCGGTGGGGAGGTCGCCACTTTGACCTTGGGCGACACAGCACTGCCTTCGTCGCGAACATGCAAGCAGTTTGTGCCGTGTCAAGAGTGATCAGGTTCCGGGCAGGGATTACCTTCCCGTCGATGGCATCTGGAGGTATCTGCCCGATGGCACAGAGTCGCACTGCAGAGAACATGTCTTCAGCGTTTCTCACAATCGCCGAACGCCGACATGATCATCCTGCAAGACTGAGACTGAGAGTAAGAATGAGAAGTGAGACGCCAGCTCAGATTCCTACATCTAAATCTAAGCCTCATGTCAGTGCCCTGCAGAGCCACCTCGCAGGCTGAGAGCACAGGACACGAGCCAGAAGCTAATGCCGGCCCAGCAGAATCCTTGGTAAATACGATACATCCCAACCAAGACCAGGTGAAGAGACATGCCTCTGCACACACTGACACGAATCCTCGCATTTATCCTTCTGTGCAGGGTCTGCCCACGAAGTCCACGAATGTCCCAATCCACTCTGGGGCCTTTGAGCAATGCCCGTGCTCATTCTGCAATGAACTCGAATGCTAAAGTACCTGACCCGTTTAATGCAAGCATTCCGTGGATGATTGCAGGTCGATAATCAAGCGCCGCATCCGTTCATCGTGTTTGCGAAATGTGCTGATACAAAACATAAAGCCGTGCCCTCGCTGCCATGATGATTGCAACCATGATGCAACGCGAGGAAAGTACGCAGATAGTGTGTAGGCCCACAGCATGAAAAAGAAAGATGCCCACATGAAGCCTCGTCAGGCTTGTGGGGGGGTTCGCTGACACTCCGTGTCCGCATTTACATGCCTGCATCACATCTGGTTCACTTTGTGCAGGTCAAGCCGGCTTCGGCGATCATGAGGCAAGCATAGTAGGATTACGGAATATGTCCAGCAGAACAATTCGTCCTCCTACCAACCTATGGAGAAAGCTGCCACCCAGTAACAGATCCGCAGAATGTCGCACAGGCTCTTGCGGCCAGCATGTGCTTCAGAGGCAGACTGCGTGCTGTGGAAGGACAGGGTCAGGAATTGACCTGACAAATGCGATGCCAAGGAGTGCGTACGTTGTCATGCTGCACCAAAGAGCCTATGTCCCGCAACACATGCTGAGTGCAAGGGGAGGCTGCCAAACTCTGTCTCACCCTCGCGACCGGAAACTCCATGCGCTTCCACGGTGTCCTGACCTCAAGATGGATCGCGACACAAGGCCACGTTTCACGCATGGGTGTAAATCAGCTCAAGACAGAGCACGAACTGTTTGAAGAGGTTCAACAGCCATCCCTCGGTTGTATCCGGGGAATGGCTGAGCAATTATGTTGCATTGGCAGACTCGACTTTGCCGAGGCACCTCACGTGCTGCTCGTGCGACGTCAAACCCTGAGGGCAACCGCAGTACCAAACTCCAGCATCGATTCAGGCCGAGTGATGCGACATCTCGTGGTCATATTGAGGAATATTGCCACCTGTGGCAGACCTCGGACCTGGAACCCCATGACGACGTTGCATCAATTTCGACCGACCGGCATGCAGGGTGCCTTGAACTACGCTTGCATTTGCCCCCGCCGAGTGCCCTGTTCGCAGGTGCACGAGGGCTATCACGACATTCGCAGCATCACCTTTGACTTCATGTCATATTATGCCCTGTGCCTCCGCTGTATCACGCCAAGGATGTGTGGAGATTCCAATCGTGATACTAGACCACAACACCGCCCCACTTCCCATCGTCACGATCTGCTGCCGCATTCGAGGCTCGTGCCAAGGCCCATCAGTGCCGATGCCACAATGCCGTGGCAGAAGATGTCGCAGATGTGACCTAGCCGAGAAGTGCAGTGCTGCACGGCAACAGCAGCATCAGCTCCGCGGGCCCTGGGTGCATCTGGGTGCACAGCTGTAGCTCAATGCCCATGCCGGCAGTCCCTCGTCGCCCACAGCGCAACCCCAAAGGCCAATAACCAACCTGGGTCTTCTCAAGTGCAAAGCAAACAGACTAACAGTGCTCCAGCGCTGCCCAGGTCACGTGAAGAGCGCAAGGGCCAGTGCTGGCAACAGCCGCGAAGGCGTGGAGTGCTGGAAACTGCTCAGAAACTGGCACACCTCATGTGATAGGCTGACAGCCAATGTGTCACAACAAAGCTTTTGAGAAGACGGCCGCTTACCGTGGACTAGCATCAATGCGTCACTGGAGTCCTTCTGATGACAAGGCCAGTGGCTCTCACAACCAGTATACTTCGTGCTATGCTGATAAAGGCGTGCACATCTAAATGCACCAGGATGCACAGACAATAGGAGAAACAAGTGGAAGAAGGATGGCTAGCCATTACACAAGTAGCGAGTATGTGTAGGTCTTGACACAAGTGTCAAAACCTGCGTAGGCAAACTAGGGCCAGCGAAAGCGAGGGAGAGGGATGCGAGAGCTGAGCGAGGGAAAACCGAACTTGCCCATAGCACCTAGAAGTAGGGCTCCCAGACCAGGCACCTTGTTGTGCGCCAGTGCCCGGCCAAATTGCCAGACCATGAACATGAGGACCTGCATAAACACGCGTGAATCTGCAAATATAACCCGCATTGCCTGCCTCAAACATGTCTCCCTCAAGCATCTCGTAACAGATGCCCACCACTTCTAAGATCCCCTATTTCATGATCGCAAAGCAGCTGGATTGACTGCACCTACGAAGCTAAACACTTCCCCCCCATGAGCCTGATTTAACGATAACATGAAGCTGGACCCTCAGCAAGCATCCACGCCTGCGCCAAACAGACACGGCAGATCAGCTCTGCAACAGTGAGGAATTCATCCTTCGTACCGGGCAACTGGGGGTGATTATTCTTCCTTCACCCGTTTCATAGACAAAGATGAGGCCGCCACCAGCTGCGGTGGCAACAGACCTTCCTCTCGCAAGATCTCGGACTTGTTGAACCCCTGCTTCGCATGCAGGCAAACCTCGCAACAGACCTTGCGATGCTGAAATGCATGGTTGGAGAACTGGACTGACAAACTTCGCAGCTTGCGCTCACATCTCTAGCTACAGGGCCGCAGCCAGGCAGCTGGGACGAAGAAGCCTGCCCAACACAGAAATCGCCTGCCAGAGCAAATGAAACCCACTGGAGGAAGACAGGGACTGCGATGAGCACTCATATGCATTGAACGGTTCGGAGTCATCAAAGCTCACGCCGGGAAGAAGCATGTCCCATCTGCAAACTGTTCACTCTCTGACCCGTGCAAGCTCGAGCTGTCGCGCAGGGGCGAAGTGGGAAGAGACAGGATATCAGACACAGAGAAGTTCATTTTGCATCACACATGTCTGACTCTCAACACCCAGCACCGACTTCGCATGGATAGATCCGCAGCCGCTGCACACCCAACCCTCTTGACAATACTCCTGAAGTGCGCCAACTGCGGCGTGCCCACAACAACAAGTTTATCCAGTACCATTCGTCAATGCCACGTTATCTCAGCACCGCATGGCATGCGCGGCTGCTCTTGCAAAAAGAACATCACACGAGCCTTAAGCAGGAGATTTCAGCCTTCGGGGTCCGATTTGCATCACACCTTGGGCCACCCAGATGTACTTTGCAGATACATCAAAGACCTACTGCCTATTATCTTTTGATCTGAGCCGCTCAAGCTCCAAGCATCCTTGCAGGAACGGAAACGGTGCGAAGGTAAGAGCTGAGAAGCGAAGAGGAATCGAGCCTTCCCGGTGCGCAGTCGGCATGGCAGCAAGTTTCCCCTTTTGCGTGCTCGCAGCTGCTGGACTGGTGAATTACGGCTCTCTGAGACATGGCATTTTGACCGCATGTTGACTGGGTTATGCCTACCTCGCAGCGGCAACAGCCCGAAGGCCTTACACAGAACTCTGGACTGGAATTTCTGCAACAGACACCTGAGTAAAGTGTCCTCTCTTGTGCAACCTGAAGCTGTACCACGGCTTTCATTGTCTCGAAGCAAATGCAGAGTCACCAGGCATCTTGCAGCTGTGCAAAGGCTTGCGCCGGCTCTCTCTTTGCAAAGCCATGGCTCCCATGGACGTTGACTGACTTACCCTGTGAGGACAAACTTGCTCTAATCCAGGCTCCGGGCAATCGGCACGTGGCATCCAAGCGACTGGCAAGAGGCTCAGGTGCGTCGTGCTGACCGCAGGAGCAGGAACATTTACAAGACGAGCTTTGAGGCTGGCGGCTCATCATCGCTCAGATTTCATCCATGATCGCTCAGATCTCGAAAGCTGCTCAGTGGTTTAGAGTTTAAGAAGTATAAGCGGATCAGTTCCGGTTTCGGCTGGACAGACACGACAGCCCAAAGCAGAAGCTTTCGGGAAGGTTGGCTTTTGGGGAAGTGAAGGTTGGATCCAAGGTGCCGCCTGCCATTTGCGCAGTCGTTCCTCGTGTTCTGGAAGTGCAGTAGGCCACATGCTATCCACGAAAAGCCTGCAGAAAGTTGCCAGCAGTGCCAGAGACTGTTCACATCCAGCAACAAGGCCAGAATGAAGTAAGGACCTGCCAGGCAGCTTGGACCCATGCCACAGGCTCTCTGACGAGGGCCCCCGCACCTCCCGAGGGCTCTGCAAAGCCCAGCAGCTGGGGCCCAGAGGCCGTGCTCGGCTCCTCTTCCTGAACGCTGCGAAGTTACTAAGCACCCACACTGACCCTGTCGTCCCAAAGGCACCTTGATCTCCTTGTAGCGCACGCAGCAGACCTGAGTTCTGGGATAGGCAAACCGCAGGTTGTTCAAGGCATTTGTTGCTGGCGCCAAAGAGCCGAGTAGAGAGGCCGCGCTGCCATCGACAAGGCACTCTCGCGCGCCTGCACAGCGCGGCATCTCGCGGCTTCGGTTCCCAAAACCCGGCCCAGACCTGGCCTTCGTGTTCCGCTTCATGGCCGCTTCCCACCCCGTAGGACCCTGCGCTTTGGGCTGAGACTGAGCACGGCGAGCCACGGCGAGCCACGTCGAGCCATGCAATCTATCGGGACTGGACTTCCACAACTCAGGTGTGACCATTACCTGGACGCAGCGATGGGCTGCAACTGCAACTCAAACCTTCGTCTCTCGGTGCATGACATTCAGACCCCGCAAAGCTGGCAACAAGCAAAACGCTGCAGAACGAAACCCTCCAGCCGCGTCTCACTTTTCGACAACTCGCTTGTTGCAAACACACACATCTTGCCATCGCAAGAGCGACTGGAGGCTGGAGGCGCACTGCCCCCGTGCACGAACTGTCGAGCAGCAGTCGTGTGGTAGTTCAGCCATGGCAGCTAGTGGCTTGCAGCCACGGAGGCATGCGACTCGACTCCGACCCGTAGGACAAGCAGCATTTGCACTGCTAGGTCGTCACCCGAGTGGGAAAACTTCATAGGGCACTTGCTCTGCAAGTCCACGATGGGTTGGCAGGTGAAGTGAGCTTCTTAGAAGCTAATGTTCACCTTGTGATGTGGCCCTGCCTCGTAGTGCATGTCCACAACAACAGCCACACAAATATGCTAGCAAGTCAGACGTTGACATCTCAGAATCTTCTACATGCGGCAAGATAATCATGAAACATGTGAGACGCTGAATTCGTGCATCCAGTGGGAATACTTGGAAACAGCTGTATTGTCCGAGTATACACCTTCAGTACGTGCTCACAGATGGGGACCCCGTGGGAACGACTACAGCCACTTCGCGATGCACGGAAGGATTCAGCCACAGCATCCTGCTAACACTTTGCCACCACAGAAGCTGCATCCTTCCGTCTGCCCGTGTCATTCATGAAGCTCCAATCGGCCTTGCAAGCTGCAACGAAGCTGAGCTCAGCTAATTCCACATTAACCGCGTCAAAGCCGCAATTCAACCATCCTGCAACTGTTCACAAGGTTTGCGAAGCGCATGAAACGAAGAGACCGCACTCGCAGAAGTCTCACCATCCGAGGGCATGGAGGCTCTCTTGCCCGATCCGGCAAGAAACCCACAAAGGCCCTACACTAGTCTCTGCTGGCAACTCTGACAACCTCAGGGATTGCTGACTGCGTATTTAGCCTGCAACCTGTGAGTACCGGTACCACGTTTGCTCATGCTGGCGCCTAAGACGTCCACGCCCTCTAAGAAACTGGAGCACCGAGCTCTGATACAAAGGCAGACACTATCATGCTTTCAGTAACCTCGTTTGAATGTCAGCTAGATCAGCAACCTTCCGCTCTACGTCGACATACTCATGGCGGTCTTTCCACCTTCTACGCAGCTTGTGCGCAAGACACTCGGGGATTCGGCCTGGTCTAGGGAGCTTGCCGATCCCCTCTTGGCATCGGGTCCTCGCAACTGAGCGCTCTCGTGAAGGAGCCCCGGGCAGAGGATGTTCGAGATGCAAAGGAGCCCGGGTCCTCCTCCAGCGGTGCACCACAGAAGGGCCCGTGAGCATCCTGGAGGAGCCACGAGGGTAAAGCTTCACCCTGCTTTCACAGAGGAGAAGCCCTGAGAAACCTGAAGCTGTGAGGTTCCAGGGGACAGCCCGCCAGGGCAGAGAATCAAAGCGGAGCTGGCGGCCTGTCCCAAGCCGCCGTCGCCTTCCACCGGCCTCTCACGGCACGTCACAGGCTGCTGACGCTCACTCCCGGTGCTGCCGCCAAGATGTAACAAGCAATCGCCAGGGTTGCGGCCGATCTTCTGGCTTCGAAGGCGCTGCCTCCTGCGCAATACACACCTTGAAATCAACCTGAACCGGCAGTGCCCGGCAGGCTGAGCCGGACCAAGCCACCACTTGCCCAAAGCGTGCGTCTCGGCGTCCTTGGCTGCGGGTGCCGTGGACGGTGCTGCATCTGTGTCCTCACAACACACGCGCCAAGGAGAGCTTGGATGCTTCCAAAAAACAGCAGCGATCGTTCGCTGTCCTTGGCTTCTTTCGCTTTGGCCTTTTCCTTGTCCAAGGATGCATTGCTCTTGCCTCTCAGGATTCCCTTGAAGGCCTCAGTGCAGGTGGCCCTACAGGCTCGATTGGAAGACGGAAGTGCCGGACCGTCTGAAGCTTCAAAGCCGCCACCTCCGCAAGCAGCTCCAATCAGCTCCCCGCAGCTCTGCGCAGCTCCGGCCTCCTGCTTCAAGTCCTTCATTGGGACCTTCCCCGCGCCGCCCTTGCCTTCCTTTCCTTTGCCTCTCAGCGAAAGAAACGAGCATCTCCGAGCGTCTCCGAGCTCTACGGCTGAGCACGGTGCTGGTTGCGAAGCTAAGGCCTTCTGCAAGGCCGTCTTTCCTGATGGATGACACTCTTTGGCGCACAAGCGTTGCGGCACCTTTTTGAGCAGACTGTGCCCTTGCCGGGGCGTTCACGCAATTTTGCTGTGGATACGGAGCTCGCTCTTTTCGATCAGCCTGCAGGGGTTCCAAGAGCAGGGATTCTGTGGACACTCCAGGACTCAGAACCTGTAAGTTGGCGGTGAGCTAAAGACAATTGTAGACATCAAGCCACCTCCGCAGTTTCTCACGCTGCTTCTTGTCCATATGTTCCTAGCAAAAAGCAACAGATTAGGCAGGTGGACCGTCTCTTCAAGCTGAACCTATGACAAGCCCTTCACTCAAGTCAGCCCTGGCAGGAAAGAATGCACACCCTGTGCGGGGTCCTCAACTGTGTCAAGGTCCTCGAGACTTGCCTCTGAAAAGGCTTGTTCCAGAAACTGACGTTAATGCAGATGTAGTTGTGTTCCGCTTCATGTGGCAAAGAGAAAACTGGCTTACATATACGTAGTGGTAAATGCAAGTGTTTGGGGATGCGCGAGTGTATTACAAAGAAGGGTACGAGCGCGCAGACGTTTCAGCTGCTGCTGTCGGACGCGCTGTCGGTAGAACTACTAGTGCTACTGCTGCTGCTGCTGGGCTGTTGGCGGGTGCCGCGAATTTTGGCAGGAATCTGACCTGCTCGGCTCTGCCCATGACCCCATGAAACAAGATCCAAACAGTTCGTATTTCCGGCGCTGTAGACGACCTTTATGCCCGCTCGCTCGTTGGAGGAGTCACGCTGCGCGCCGTCCTGCTTTGTAGTTGATCACATGCGCTTCTCCGGTCCACGGGCACCAGCATGTCCGCTCGAAAGCTGCACGTAACACGGATTTTGTCCTTTGATGCTCCGGGATCTTGGGTTGTGGTATGGTGGGCCATCAAGGTCTTCTGGGGCAAATTGAGGTGAGGTTCTGCTAGCAGTCTGGAAAGTAAGTTTCGTTCAGGAGTCCACTGCCCGAGGCTGGTGCCAGATCGTCCCCGAGGCAGACGAATCTCATAACCTGAGTAGAAAGCTGTGGGCCAAGCGCTGCTGGACCCAGCCACCTGGGAACCCCAAAACAAAGACCCAAGTGCCTGCTTGCACGCTGAGATAAAATGGACCCGTCCGTTCTCGCCGACCTCCAGGCAAGCACGTGCAGGTGCAAAGCAGCCGGTGCGTGCTAGATCGTGCTAGGCTGGTAGTCATAGGAAACGCCAACTCACTGGCTCTTGATGGTGCTTGCACTGCTGAAATCAATGGAGCTACTGTCATCGTGCCTGAACATCGAGCGCGGCAACGTACTTCATCGGCAGCGACTGCAGCAACAGATACTACAAACTACAAGTTGCTTCGGACTTGTCCGAGGAGTCACTATATCTCGAGAGTTCCCGCCTGCAGGACATGCAGTCCAGACCCGGAACCTGCCAGGAGTCACTCCAGTGAGGGTTTAGGGTTTGGCGATTCTCCCGCAGACCTGAAGAGCCTGGACGATCGCCCTTGGATGCAGATGCGTAGCTGTGGTGCCTCGGGGGGTTTTGCATACTCTTCAGGCACAGGCCAAAGACGTCGTGAGCAAAGCCTTCTCTGTAAGCTCCACACCCGTCAACCTCTCTGAGAGCCTGCACGGAAGAGAAATCTGGACTGGGCAAGCCCAGAACGACGGAGAACTGACGGTGCAGCGAACCTTGTTGATGAAGCTTAAAGCATCTCCCAGCGGCAGTGACCTGAACTTGATGTGCAAGGCGTAAACTCCATTGAGATCCCGACTCAGTACCAACTACAGTGTCCTTGTGCTGCTGCTTGTGGTGGACTGATGACTCAAGCAACTAACAACTGGAAGGAGGATGCAAATTCCGTATCCCTTTTCACTTTGAGGTGCAAGCAGTCTGTGGTCTGGGTCGTGCTTCAGCCACAGCTGGCAGCCAGCAGGGGCGAGTCAACAATGCTGATGTCGGACACCCCACATTATCTTCCGGCATCAACGATACGACTCCAACATTGAACTGGACCTCTCTGAAATTCGCCGAACTCATGAAGGCCTTCACGCAGACGTCAACAACTTCTGAAGCTGGGCTCTCCTTGCCATCCTGCAGATGTCAGATGGACGGTGAAGCACTTGGATTGGCTCACGCTTCTAGGCAGATATGCTGACTGCTCTTGCAAGAGCTGGCGACCTCGTAGCCTTCCAAAATCACGGCTATCACCAGATTCATGACCTGCAGACAGCTGGATGAATTCAGAAGTACCGTTGAGTCGATGTCTCACCCAAAGCACAATCTAAGAAACCAAGACTGCGACCATGAAGGTGATCAGCAAGGTGTAGGTCACCTGACCGGATCTGGGTGTTGGGCCCACCGTCTCTGAAACATGTTCGACAGCAAGCGTCGAGAAGGCAGATTTCCATGCAGCAATGCTAACCAAGTCCGCGCACCCAGAAGCAGAAGGAAAAGTACGGGCTCTGCGCCTCGGAATGGGGGAAGCACGTGGCGCTGCGTAGCCGCGAAGGGCGAAAGCGTGAGCGGCTGTAAGCGCTTGACGCAACTATTCGGGTGCTCGATGAGGCACTTGTCCTTGAGCACCTGGAGAGAGCACTCACGAGGTTTCAAAGTTCCTGCCTGAAGAACGCATCTGAAGACCTACTGCCTGCATCATTGTCATCATTATGAGTCAGAATGCCCCCCACCTCGAATTTAGCTTCTGTGTCGAAAAGCTCCACCGGAGAGCACCACTCACCCTGCTTGTACAGCTCCACCTTCGCTGCATGTGGCAGAATTCCGCAGAAATGGTCAGGTCCGGCAGACACTGGGGGCTGCAGCTTCTTCGTTGAAACAAGGCACTGCCCCGGCCACCGTGTCTACAATTCGAGGAAGTCTCGTATGCTGGATGCATTGCTTCTCATGAGCAGCTCTGTCAGCAGCATCCCTAAAGATTTCTTCGGCACATTCTCTCGCCGGATCATCATGCCAGCGTCCAACAGCATCTCAGCACTTTCGCTGGGCTGTTCACAGCATTAAACAAGCACGAGTACAGGGTGCTGTGGGCTCAGCAGACTTCGCTCGTCACGCTGCGGTACATCCGGCGGGAACTGAACCGCAGCATGCAGACGAAGATCCCAGCAGCGGTAGTGGTTGCGGAGGCCGGGGGTAGCGGTAGTAAACCCCACCTGGTTCAAGGAGCACCAAAATCACTGAGAGGTGCAACTCCTACAAAAGCTGTGCTGCAGCAAGCGCTACCGGGTACCGGCTTGCCTGGCTTGCCATCAACGTATGGCCGGCCATAGCCCTGCAATGCTGCCTTGTCTGCCCCATCTAAATCCTTTGCAGACACACCTTCCAATTTCGCGCCGGTCGTCTTGTGCACCACCACACCACTTGAGATTCCGTACGAGAAATCTGCTGGGTCAAAGTTCGCCAGCAGTGCCTTGGCTCATCTCGGCCAGCTTTGACTGCTCGATTTCACGGCTTGTGGACTATCTTGAAGCTCACTTCCATGAACCTTCTCAAGTAAACATACGAGTTTGGGGCTGGGCCACAGAAAGAACAGGCATGTCTACAGCTAAGTGATACTTCCTTGGCCCTGCCATGCCCTGAGCCGTGCCGAGACCTCAAGCACGGAAACCCTGAAACAGATTACTCTTCTTCTGACCTAAAAGCGGACATGCCAAGGCGCATTGCTCTTCTCCAGGCGCTCCATGTCTTTCGCGTGCGCTTGGTCATAGTCCACCCCGAGTTTGGAGATTCGCGCTACCAGCTCCTGCCAGATGCTAAATCTGCTGCAGCATAAGCGCTTGTGGGAAATACAATGTTAAATACAACACTGGTCAACAGCTGAGTCCTTTGGCATCATTTTCGTGGCATCAAACGACTCGCCGATCTCGACTAAGGCTTTCAACGCTGCCAGGACATAGGCCAGTGGAAAGTGACGGAGTTTTAGGAAGTGGCCACCCTTCCTGGCATGCTCGAAAACCAATACAAAGTTGACAGGATGTGCACCCGGGATGTCTGCATGCGTTGCGGCCTGTACACTCCCAAGTGGGAAGGCAACAGAGGCAGCAGCATGTACTGCAAGTGCAGCTGATACCTCGGCCAGGCGGCCCAGTTCAGAGGCAGAAGGATGTCATGTCACAAGCTGCCGCTGGAGACCCAGCTGCGAACTCCGAGACAACAACAGTGGCGGCGACTTCAACCTGAGCCTTCTATCACGAAGCACAAACCTAAGAGACCGTTTTCTAGAGCTTTGAAGGAGCGTTGTAGTTATTGCTTTGAAATGTGCCGCGGCAGCTTATTGGAAGGATAACGCCTGGGAAAGGTACTTTCACGAACTTCTCATTCCAGTCCGAGTGCAAACTCTGAACATACTTCTATTCCTGCGCCACAAAGCTCAGCAAAAGGAAAGCGCTGACCCCCTGCATCTGGAACCGCTAGTGCCGTGAGCGTGGGCGTGAACGGCAGCAAGCAACGAGCATCCCAAGCATCTGCACATCTCTGATATGTTCACAGCAGAGGGGCATACAAGAGGCAAGTCCTATCTAGCAAGATATCGATAGAGATGCAAGACACACTGGACCAGATAAGCTTGACATACCTCATAAAGCCTCGACACAGCTTGGAAGCAGCGCGGGAGAATGATCCTAAAGGCCCGAGGCAGAGGCACGAACATGGAGAAACTGAAACGTCTCCCGAAGATGTGCTCCGCACCATTATTCAGAAAACAACCGGCTCTATGAGACGCTGGCAGTGACGCCGCAGCGCGAAAACGCCCGGGCCGTTCTGCGACGCCTCCCTGCTCCCACGCCAGACCTCGGTCCCGGGGCCTACTTAGTCGAGCCGTCCTTCGCTTGGGTCTGTCAAGTCGCCAGAATCCGTGACTGGCCGTCTGTCCATAGCCTTATCTGCCCTGCCCGTGGGCCAATGCCGCCGCGGCAGCAATCCTGTCAATTTGGCGTCGATCCCGGGCCACAGCGCGTACAGTTGTTTCAGTCGCGTACGTTGGGTTGGTCCCGGTTCGGCGGTACTAGTAGTGTATTTTTCCGAGACCTGACACTGACAGCGGTTCAGGCAAGTCGGTGTGCTTCTTGAGGAAGCCTAAAGGCATGCTTGAAGGAAGCTCTCTTACGCTACAATTGGTCACCGGTAACCGCATGCCATTTCAGAATACGGGTTTCTCGGTACCCGTTCGAACCGATGCTGGATTGCCAGATTGCTCTTCGGGGCTGTCATACATGCACAGACACCAAAGTGCACAGAGGCTCCAGCTTGCACAGAGTGGCAAGCTGTCAGGATGTTGGGCAGACGCGGCGGAGACCACGGTGCACACGGACACCACAGCACGACGACGATCATGCCATTCTACCTCTATATAGAAACTCTAAGTGCGGGCAACTGTGCTGCGACGGCGGCAGGTTGAATGCCATCAGGACATGTTGACCTTGCAATCTTGGGGCGTCCACCGCCAGAATGTGAGAGCCATTTGCAAAGCTTTCTACTGGTGCAATCTGAGCAGCGGAGCTCTGCTATGGGGAGGGCGTTGCCAGCTGGCGACAGGGCCTGGCAGAGACGCGAGGACGAGCACTTGTCTGGCGTACATACATATGATCATATGTGAATGTTCATGTACGTTTTCGCGTACATATGTACATATGCATAAGTATGTATGCATGTACACAGATACAGGCCCATGGCAACTGCTTGCATACGTATTTGACGTATATAATTTGCAGACATACATACATACGTACATACATACATACATACATACATACAAACAAACATACATACATAGATGCATGCACACATACATACCTGCGTACATACGTACGTAGGTACGCACGCGCGTGCATGCCTACTGCGAAGACTAGTCACTTTTCCGCTCAGCCGTTGGCTTGAACTCAAGGGGCCCCTGCGGTCAAGGGGGTGCTTTCAAGCTGTACAAACTGTGCACACACTGTACGCGCGCTGCAAAAATGGGTCGGTTTCACACCCGTGACTCTTACAGCGGCAGTGTGGTGAAAACTTCAGCCTCCAGGATCGATGCCTAAGTCATCGTCCTCTTCCTTCTTCGTCGACCTTCTTTGAAGCTGCTTGGCGCGCTTCTTCACAACACTCTCGAGTGGTTGTTCCACGTCGAACGTGTTTGTCTTCAGAGCCTCTACCAGCTTGGTAGGCTCCATGAC